ATGTATTGACATTTTTTTCACTTCTGAATAAATATGATGATGATCACATGTGACTTGATGTGAAACTTTTCATTTTGTTTATCTGTATTTTATCTATGTATATATACATATAACTGTAGTGTCTTGGCTTCGAGATAATTCCTAAGGGTTTGTATATCAATCAGCTAGATAACTGTTATTAAATAAATCCCAACAACGCTGTATAAATGATGAAGGTAACAATATGAAGTACCGACTACAGTTTATTAGTGGATAGTGCATGTGATAAAATTTACAAACACTATCAAAGTAAAATGAAGAATATGTGCGTAGGCTGTCACACGTGATCAAGCATACATGTTCCATACAGACATGATAGTAATATTAATAATAATATAAAGAAATAGACAAATTGTTACTGTTCGAATAACATTATACGTCAAATAAATTAGTTGAAAGGCTTGACAAAATTAACTGTATAGAAACTTAATTGTAGGTGATATGCTATATAAAAAACATGTGTATTAGTGAGAAAGGATAAGACAAAATGAGCCTAGGATATAAACCCTTCCATCTCCCTAAATTCGACAAACATATCTATATCAATGCTTAAGATCATGAGTCAGTTGAAGCTAGACCAACATGGGAAACCTGGTAGCACTGGACGGCCGTTCCGTCCTATCGTGTGACACCTCAGCAGTGCGCATCCACGACCCCACCTCACAAGACTCGAGCCCAGGACCTATCAGTCTCGCGCGCGAGTGTTTAACCACTAGACTACTGAGCTAGCATCCAATGGTGTTAATGTCTAACTTCAACTAATCCACGAAATTGAGCGACACATCCACTATTGTCTTCAGTGAATTATTATCTCACAACAGACCGGTTTGAACTCTACTGGTCACTGGTTCTCACTAGAACTCCAGGATTCCAGTCCCTAGTGAGCATATGTTGATTAATATCAGATGGGGTTTTTGTAGATATTATAGTAATCTCATATATTATTATATTACTATAATATCCACAAAACCCCCTATAAATGTATCTTTAATTGTAAAAGCACATTGGTTACCAGATAAACTACTGATCACTCTGTTAGGTTCGTGTATTTTTAACTAAAAATTTCTGATGTATCCCGACCGAAGCTGCTACCTTGACGCGGTGGTCGGGCTAGCCTATCGTGATGACCCAACCGAGCTATATTGGCTGGAACATATGTTCCTGTAGGTTCTACCATGCCAGGCGGGTCGATTGGAGAACGGTAAGACTGAAGGCAGCAACTCAAGGTCTGAGGGCGAAGTCGTACTGTTGACTGTAGAGGGGTGTTACTGCAGTAAGGTGTTTCCCTCGGACAACCAGCATCTGAAGCGATGATGCCTTTCCACAAGGATGGAAGGGGTTAGAAAAGGTCGACCCTAAAAATGTCACACCTCACCTTACCTCACGGATTTCCGTCTCCGGCGGTAAGGCCCTTCGAAGAACGGAGCTAACACAATTAAAAACCTTCCATGAGAAGGCCGTGCGCGACCGGCTTCAACAGTTGTCCCTTGAGCTCTGCGGTCACACTCCCAGGTCGTTAAGACCAACACTAATCCGACTTCCTTTTCAGGTTCTTCAAAAAACACCATTCCACAGTGTGAGCAGCTGGGAAGTGATATCAGCCCTCACACCCGTAACAGCACACGAGACCAAGTTGGTCACATTCAAATCCTTCCTACATCTCCTAATACCTCTCTTATCTCCATGACTAACCCTTCTCACGTCCCTTTATCATCTCGCACCGCTAGGGCAAACGATTCGAGTACGCGGAACGTTATTCCTGGTCTCCTGAAACCACGATCTAAACTACACGTAGGAGCTTTTAACGTCCGGACACTGTGCCAAATAGGACAACAGGCTTCCCTAGCTAGAACTTTAGAATCTCGCGCCATCGATGTGTGCTGCGTCTCCGAAACGCGCATATAGGATCCGAGTAGCGTCATTCATTTGACCTCACCATGTCAAAGTAACGAAACAACTCGATTCACACTTCGTGTATCTGGAAGCCCTGATTCTGCTTCCCTTGGTCTCTCTGGCGTAGGTATAGCATTGAGTCCTAGGGCAGAACTAGCTCTCTTAGACTGGATCCCAGTAGACAGTCGTTTGTGCGCTGTCCGACTAAACAGAACAGTAAGGGCTCGCAAATATAGGGACTCTCGTCGTTGCCTCTTCGTCATCTCTGCCTACTCTCCCACTGACTGCAGCTCAGATGATGTAAAAGATGAGTTTTATAGAAAGCTTTCCGACCTCCTCCGAAAAGCTAGGTGCTCTGATGTAGTAATAGTGGCTGGTGACTTTAATGCTCAAGTAGGTAAACTAAGCGAAAGGGAAGGACACATGGGTGGATCTTATAGTATTGTGGCTCAAAGGACAGATAATGGTGACCGTCTGTTGCAGTTTTGCTCAGATAACCGCCTGTTTCTTGCAAACACTAACTTTAAGCATGAGGAAAAACATATTTTGATATGGCGACCCCCTAATTCGTCCCAACGTTGGACCCAAATAGATCACATCGCTATCAGCCACCGATGGAGAGGCTCGATAGAAGACTGTCGCTCATTCTGGAGCACATGCCTAGATTCAGATCATGCTCTAGTACGAGCGCGTATCTGTCTGCGTCTTACTGGACGTAGGAAAGACACTGCAAGGAAACCTCTTAGGGTCCTACTTAATGATAGTCAAGCTAAGAGTATATTTCAGGAACAACTAGAAAAACAGTTAGGCAGCCATGTAAGTGATGCCCACCCCGAGGCAGCGTGGAATGACATCCGAAAAGCTGTGGAAACAGCAGCGATGTCTGCAAGTACGGTAAACCAGAAGGTTAGGGAGCAACACTGGATCTCAGCAGCATCTATCGCACTGATAGATGCTCGGAAACTCATTCCACCTGGTCCTGAACATAACGAAAAGCGGAGTCAGCTTAAGCGCCAAAGGACCTGTTTACTGCGCAGCAGTTCGTTCCGTCCTAATTTATGGCAGTGAAATATGGCCGGTAAGAGTAGAGGATATTCGTGGGTTACTAGTATTTGATCATAGGTGTCTTCGAAATATTGCTCGTATGTCCTGGGACCATCGAGTAAGTAACACAGTTGTTAGTAAACGGGTGCTAGTTAGGGATGGCGAATCATTTGTTGAAGTAGTGAAACTTCATCAGTTGAGATGGCTGGGACATGTGTTACGTATGCTCAACCACCGACTGCCTCGACGTGCGATGTTTTCTGGCGTTGGAGTGGGTTGGAAGATAGTTAGGGGCGGCCAGACCAAAACATGGCACAAATCCATTAACTCACTGACAAGTGGACTGAGTCATGTCGGTAGGTGTAGACCACCTGGTTGGGGACCGCGAGACGATAGCAACCGATGGTTAGAGACCCTGAATGACATGGCTCAAAATCGTTTGCAGTGGCGCAGGTGCATCCCTAATTCTAATCTTCTGAATTCTCCATGTCCCCTTCTTTCTCTTTCGAAATTTATTTCACTGTATTATACTCTTTAAGTAACATCTCCAAACACTAATCTTTCCGAGTACTGCTTATACTCTTACTACCTCTACCACTACGGGATTTGAATCGACAGCTGGTGGTGTGGCAACTCGTACTGATGTACGTACGTACGAAGTTCTACGTTGTTACTGACTGACTGATGTATCACATCAACCTTTCGTCGATCAATTAAATCATTCGGAATAATCGGTCGGTGAACACGCAGTTTTTTTTTACGTTGAATGTGTCCCATTTCCGGGACTGAACCGTGATTGTATAATAATCTGTTGATGTTATTTAGTCATACTAAAGAACGCTAATGCAATTGAACTGCCAAAGGTTGACTCTAGTTTTTAATTTAAATGTATTCTATATTTATCCTATCATGAGAAATGATTACTTTCATTCTAACCCGGTTAGCTTAAAAAAAAACAGGAGTAGCTCACTGCGTTGATTTCGGTCTCTTTCAAACTTTTTTTGTTTGTTTGTTAAATCGATTGTCGTTCTGTTCAATGCTATGTCAATTAACTATGTGGTAACGGTTTCTTTTATGTACTGTGTAATGATTACGCTTATAACTCATGTGTTATATGATATTCGTTTTCCCTTTTAGTACTACTAATCAATTAATTGATTAATTTCGCATACCTTTTAATGTGTGTTTAAGAAAATGCAACATGTGATTGCTGTGTTTATTTATTTATTTAAACACATAAACATTGGTACAAGAAGGCACTAAATAGTTATATTCTACACTAATCATTCGATTTAATGTGAGGGCTGTGATACTGCCCAGGTGCCCGGACCGAAGCAGGTGGTTTTCTTAGGGGACCACACCCAGAGCCTTCTAACTAAAGGTCTAGTTCACAAGGGAGTGAAGCAACGTAAGGAGATGCAGACCCATGGTACCCGGTGACCAATAATTGGTTCATACGTCATTTGTTCCTTCAGGAATCAATGTTCCCCAACTCCCTTAAGTGGACTCTCCATGTCCACCAATCCGGTTAAAGCGTTGGACATTCGCTTTTTGTCCTATCAATTTCGTGATCAACACTCGCTGCAAGAAGGCAGTGATTAGTTGCACGTGGCGATGTGAGAGCATTTTGAGAATGAGAGCTGACTTTTCACACTCTCGGCTGTACCAGGTCATTCGAGGGCTGTCTAACATTGAAGCAATCAATTTCATTTTTTATCTGCTTAAATCTAAGTAAGCAGATAATTATTTCGTATCTTATAAATCTCTTAACAAACATGTGTATGACTATGTCTATGTTTATTGTACACATGTAATTGCATATTATTATCCTTCGACTTTTGTTACTTTATGGCTTGTTTTCTTTCATTTTTGTCACTTTCTACTTGTTGTTGGTACAGATCATCAGATCAGATCATACCTCATGTAAAGTGTCTGAATTATTTCGTAATTAATATATCACGTTTTTGTTTTGTTGTTGTATATAATTCGTAGTTAAAGTGAGCCTTTTGTTTCTCTCTTTTCAGTGAAGAAACTATGTCAATGTTATTAAATCGTATTACAGCTAATGAATATGTCGTACCATCTATTTTAGTCAGTTGTGTAAATGTATGTATTGCTTTAATCGGTAAAAGGAAGCCGTAAGTTAATACTCTCCTTTTTTTAAATGTTTATGAACGTTTTTATTGCCATGACAATAATCATTCGGTAGGTGTTTCATGGTTTCATACTGATGCACACCTTTTCTTGAACTACTGAAATGATGAATAACGTATTGTATCGATAAATAATTTACGAGTGATACATTATACCTGATTGCTAGCTAGGTATAATATTGATTCACTAACATTCTATCCTCTACAGGTCAAATGAATACATTCCTAAACATTAATGGGAAGATTCAGACAAACAATACCAAGTAAATTTGAACTTCACCCTGTTGCACAAGCAAGTGGCTATCAGGACTCAGTAGCTAAGTGGATAACGTGATGGCGTTTAAAGCGAACTGTACTGAGTTCGAGCCCCAGAGTGAACGTCAACTCTGAAATGCAGGTGCATCTAGATGACGAGTCCCACGTAGGACGAAACGCGTGTCCTGGATTCCACTGCCAGCCACTGTCCTATATATCTTATATACAAAATATTAGAATAAAAATAAACATGATTAGCTTTTATTTCTCAAACAAGCGATTCACATAGATCAGATTAGTTTGGATCACTCACTTGTCAATAGAATTAATACCTAACTATCAGTGTCAATTTGATCCCATCATATGTGCTCCCTGGTAAATTATTGTATTTCAACAGGATGCTGAAAATTTGACCAACTTTCATCTACCTTTGTTGTGTTCTTTTTTAACACTCTCGTCGCTAGAATTATTATAGGCGCACTGATGTTTTTGTTAGATATAAACTGTTTAACTTCAGAATATCTAATTCTAATAGATATTAGACTAATTGATTACTGGAAACTCAGTCAGTCAGTGAGTAACAACGTAGAACTTCGTACGTACGTACATCAGTTCGAGTTGCCACACCACATTAGCACAGAGATGCAGTTATCGCCTCAAATTCCGTAGTGGTAAAGGTAGTAAGAGTATAAGCAGTAATCGGGAAGATTAGGGTTTGGAGATGTTATTTAAGAGTATAATCCAGTGAAATAAATTTGGAAAGAGGAAAAAAAGGGACATGAAGAATTCAGGAGATTAGAATTAGGGAGAACATAAAGAATGGATGCACCGTGCCATTGCAAACGATTTTGAGCCATGTCATTCAGGGTCTCTACAATTTTACGGAAGTGTACAAATACATTTGAGTTTAAGCATAAAAAATTTAAATGAGACAGGGTAATATTGAGATCATTCTCCAATGTTACAGGTTTATATCTGTCAGTCTTTATTATCCTTAATTAATTGTGGTATCATTATTTAACCAATTATATAAATATATTTCACTTGGAGATGGTGGTGAAGAATCGTATCTAAGGTGTATGATTTTGGTGGTGTTTTATTCTCTGAGCTGGGTAGTTTGGTCTTGGAGCTTTCATTGTCATCACAAATGTCTCCGCATATAACTCACAGTTTGTTCTGTAGACCTCAATCTTGATTGGTTATTGTTGACCTTTAACCTGTCATTGTTTACTTCTTCACCTCATTACTACATGAAGTTTTTGCTGATGTCTTTCAGAATAACGATGAAAGCCCTACGACCAAATTATCCAACTCAGAGAACGAAACTTCACCAAAATACTTTACTTTACATTTTTGTGTATATCCACAATTATCTGTTTAGGGTTTGGCTACCTAAGAAAATCACCTGCTCCGATATGGGCACCCGGGCAGTATCCCGGTGCTCACACAAATCGAATGATCTATGTGACACATCTGTTTGGTGCATCCTTATACCAATCATCTGTCCATTAAATACTGAACATTTTGTTTAAATTCTGGGAAGAACCCACGAATTGTCAAGGTGTGTATCGTTCACTCATTACCTTACTGATGTTTCAACTTCAGGCCAATCACTTGTTGTGATGAAAGTACTAATTATTTATGTTTACTTATTACTGATTCACTATCAAAACAATTGCTAATCCTACTGAATTCAAAGTAACTCTCTATCCATCCACAAACACACAAACAAAGAAAATTTGATGAAGAGATGAAAGTTTGTAAATGTATTGAACAAATAAAAAGATAAATAAAACAAGTGTATTAATTATTTATAATCAGTTTGTTTAATTAGATTATTCAATAGTAGTTATTAAGTAGTATAATGTTACTTTTTCTCCTCCTTTCTATCTTAACTCTACCTCTTTCTTTTTGTATTTGCAACTGTTTCAGTGAGTCAAGTTTTCCTGTTGGAGAAGATGGACATGGTTTAGATTTTGATGCATTAATTAAATGTTCCGGTGATATTAGCAGTAATTTGAAATGTATATTACGTAATAATACTAATCTGGGCAATAATCTCTCTTCTACTGTTGATAATGATATCAGTGATCTTGTTGAAAAGTCTAATCAATTCATTACTTCATCAAAAGATGATAATACTAATACTAATAATAATAATACCGTTATTGATAAATTACATATAATGAAAGCTTCAGAAAATCTAATCAAAACATCTCTACCACGTTTAAATGAATTGCATGATTTGTTGAAACGATTTCATCCAGTAAGTGTTGTGGATGAATTTCTTTAGCTTTTATATTCTTTCCATTGAATCTTCTAACTAATTTGAATCGATTCTAAGTTCATTACATGTAGTAACTGGTTATTATTATTTATAGTTTTACATTATGGATTAATTTTAGTTAAACAGTCGTTGGACAGCTATCATATAATAGTGTGGATCACTTCAGCAGTATACATCTACACGATTGAATCCTCAGAAACATTGATGAACTTAGAGACCACTAAGTCACTATACAATAATTTGCAATTCTAGGTTCAATTAATTTGTTATGTTACATTCATCTGTAGTATCATGTTCACAATCAATCCAGCCGGGTGAAACTTAATCTCAATTATAGTTAGTTGAGTTAATGATTTATAGTTATAGACACCTATTGTAGATTTTAACCAATTGTACTCTTTAATATTAATAATATTGTGCTGTGTACTACTTATATAGACATAAGTAGTATATAACGCTAGTCAGGTATAGAATGTCTGGCAGCAGAAGGTCAAGAAGATTGAAGAGGAAGGAACGGGAATAGAAAGCAATTGGTATAGAAATACAGGAACAATGAAATCTGAGACGACTGACTGATATTTGCAAAAAATATAGTCAGGTTTGAGATAATTGATTGGTATTTTTCAAACTAAGTATTCACTGTATGGTTCCCAAATTTTACTTAGATATTCTGTAATTTTGTGTTCAAATACTTTCGACTGTCCCACCTATGTTCACTACAATATTAATGAATGGATATCGCACTGTAATAGTCTAAGTTTTTTACTATCCTTTTGGTTTATAATATGAGTACTCATTAACATGGAACTCAGTAAGTAGGACTATTCTCATTCGTTGTATCCAACACTCCATCCACCCACCCGCTATATATCAGACATAATAGTTTAAATTCATCTGAACGATAAACTGCTCGCAAATATATATATTATAATAAGTTTGTGTCTTATATGGTAATGGTTTAGTCAGTCAGCTACAACATACGACCAGACATATATATGCATCGGTCCACAATGCCACACCTCATTAGCACAACAAGATCAACGCTGGATTCATAGAAGTTGTTACTTCTATAGCAGTAACATATGAAAGAAAGATTGCATATAAGAATGCAGTACAGGAAGAAACAATTAGTTCGTAGAAAGAAAGATATGAAGCGATTTTAATCTCACAGTTTAAAGAAAAGCATAGAGTGTATACACCTACGCCGTTGTGATCGATTCTTAGTCATGTCACTCAAAGTCTCTAACCATTCATTACGATAGTGATGCGGACCCCAACCAAGTAGTCTGTATCTATCAACATGGCTAAGCTTAGATGTTGGTGACTTTGTGGACTGATGCCATATTTTGGTTTGACTGCCCCTAACTTTCTTCCATCCATCCCCAACACTAGTCAGTATTGCGCGTCGTGATAATCGGTTTTTAAGCCTACGTAACACAGCTCAAGCATGGTAACCATGATAATGGTTAGTTATCACTGAAATTATTGATTAGCATATGATTAATTTTGTAACTATTATCCATATATTATTGAGTAGTAGTAACACAGCAGCAGTTTAGATCTAATTGGTTTTAATGGTTTCTTTCTAAAAACTAGTTTTTAATAAAAAAAGTTTCCTAATTTTGCTTATTTATTTGTTTATTACTATCTAAAGTAAATCCTTTTTCCTTCACTGGGCAACACCCATTTTAGATGATTCATCTAAATTGAACAATTAAATAGTCACAGTTTCGTTTATAGAACATGCTCCCCTGTGTGTGTGTGTGTGTTCGATTCACATTCACTTCAGGGTCATCTAGTTGTTTTATCTTAACACTGATTAATTATTGGTTAATAATAGATTTGTATCATTATTATTAAGAAATTGTAATAGTTGTTGCAATCACCAACTGCCCCGACTTGTGATGTTTTATGGTGTAGGAATAGGTTGGAAGAAAGCTAGGAGCGGCCAGACCAAAACATGGCACAAGGCAGTGGAGCATCGTAAGGAGATGCAGTCCCATGGTAGCCGGTGACCAACAATTGGTTCATACACCATTTGTTCCCTTAGGGTACTGGAGCACATGTGCACCATTGGTTTAGAATCAGTGTGGACTCTCCATGTCCACCAACCCGGTTAAAGCGCCGGACATTCTCTTTTCGTCCCCTCAATTTCGTAAACAACCTATGTGGTGCGAGAAGGTAGTGAGTAGGAATTTGCTGGCAGAGGCTTTATACGCGTGGCCATGTGAGACCATTTCGAGTGGGACTATATCTCTTGACGTCGCTCCACTGCCTTGTGAATTAGACCTTTAGGTCAAAGGCAAAGGCTTGTAGTAGAGCTTCCTGAGAAAATCACCTGCTTCGGTTTGAGCACCCGGGCAGTAACTCAGCTCTCACACAAATCGAATGATTTATGTGGTGCATATCTATTTGGTGCTTTATTGTATCAATGTTTATGAGTTTAAATAAATAATCGATTTAGAACAGAATAACATTAAATAATTCATGCTAATTAACAATTCTCAAACTCCATATATATATGTATTCGTAATTCCCCTAGTTAATTCTATTAAAGTTTTCTAATTTTATCTGAATCGCGTGACTGTTTTCTTATTCAATTTTAACAATCCTTTAGTTTATATTAAAGTTTTTATTTTGTTGTAGATTGAAATCATGAAACGATCGATATTAGACCACTATTAAAAACCTGAGATCACTTGACGGCTATTTTGTAGCTATTATGGTATTCCTCAGTAGTGCACATTCACGATCTCACATGTGGTATTTGAAGTCATAACCTTCGATCTCGCGCGCGAACACTTAAACTCTAGACCACTGAGTCAGTATTTAGTGGCCCGGGATCTGACTCCAATGAGATTGTTTCTGATTGCTATTGAGAAATACATATCGTCAATCCTCGTATATAATCATCGACTTAATTCGCGTTAGTCAGTAACTGAACTATTTCTCTCTTTATTCTTTCAGCCTGTTACTCCTAATGGAGCATAGGCCGACGACCAGCATTCTCCAACCCACTCTATCCTACGCCTTCTTTTCTAGTTCCATCCAATTATTGTTCATTTTTCTCATGTCTATCTCCATTTCCCGGCGTAATCTGTTCTTTGGTCTTCCTTTTTTCCTTTGGCCTTGAGGATTCCATGTGAGGGCTTGTCTTGTGACGCAGTTGGGCACTTTCCCTAACTCCGCCTGGAGTCCCTCTGGGGGCTACTACCGGCCCCAATCCCGGATAAGGGAGGGGGTTGGGCATTGGGTTAGCGACCTCATCCCGTAGAAAACTAACTCGCTGAAAAAACGCTAACCAGAGAAAATTATTCAGTAACTGAATTAAGTAAGTCAGATACGAGAAGGAATTCGGAATAAATGTATTTCATACAATCTTTGATCCATACAAAATATCGGAGAAGCGAATAGAAGAGAGTGAAGCAAAATGACGCGCAGTGGAGTAGGCTCGTTAGCCAACTCCATTTAATCAAGCGTTAATCAATATTGACAGTCACACAAAATTAGACTACAGACATGTGATGAATGAGACAAAAGGGCACATACATATACGCTCATATAAAAACAGTCTAGATTGATAAGCGAATAATTAAGAAGGTCAAAATATGACTTGAGTAGAACGAATATATTGGACTGTGCGAAAGCTAGAATAAGGTATTTAGGCTTAACATAATAACCAACGCTACAATTATTCACCGGTGTTAATGTTTAAATTCAACCAATCCACGATATTGCGCGATCACAACTCTATACTGATAATTATCATGCGCTGTTTAGCGACTAGCTTCGAGAGCTAATTCTCGGAGTTTTATTCAGAAGCAATGACCAACAGAGTTCAACCGTGTCGAATGTGAGACAGTTACTCGCCGGAGACAATATCGTGGATAGGTTGAAGTTATACATTAACACCGTTAAATGCCGGCTCAGTGATCTGGAGGTTAAGCGTTCGCGCACGGTACAAAAGGTCGTAGGTTCGGTTCTCGCGTGCGGCACCGTGTGTGAGTAACGCTGGGGAGTCTGAAACTAGGATGAAATGATCGTCCACTACTCCCAGGTATTCAAAGGTGGTCTAACATGGATCGGTTCATGACCTCAGTTAAAACAACAATTTCCACAACCTTATACTGATTTTTTTGGATAATTTTAGAAAATGCCTAACTTCCCTTTGTGATTCGATTTATGACTAAACAATGTTGGAAAAATATTTATACTCAAAAACAGTGGGGAAATTATAAATATCATTGTATAAAACAGGTAGATTTCGGCTATCAGTCGAACACGTAGATCATCCTGTTCAGGACTCTTCAGTTGTATGTATCTACACCACAATACTAATGTATACCTTATGACTCATCCAGTAGCCTTCGCTTCAAGCGTTCGACATGTTATCCACTGAGCGATTATTGATTCCAAATATCCAGTGTTACATTCTTAGTGTGATCACACAATTCACGTCAGTTTATATGTGTGGTGATCAGGTCGGTAAAAAAGAGATGGTAGTCATTAAATAAATAAGGATAAATTGTTTGAATCAATGAGATTTATAAATTATTTTAATTCAACAGTTATGTCGTAAACCATTATATGCTTAAAAAAAGCATTATGAAAACTCAGGAAGCTCATTTTGCTTTTTTCAACTTGTTACGTAGACGAGATATCAGTTTGTCAATAGTAACAGTTCGCTTCGTTCTATTTTATGACTGAAACGTGGTCTTTAACAATATATGATATTCGTAGTTTATTAATATTTCATCACATATGTCTTTAAACCATTGCTTGTACATTTTAGACCGTAGAGTTAGTAATTCTGAGGTTGATAGCAAGTTCTAGATAAGTATGGAAAATCAATCTATGAAGTAGTAAGTCTGTATTTATGTCTATCTACTGACAATGTCAACGTGCAATGATGGCTTGTGTGGGAAAATAAGTTGAAAGAAAGCTAGGAGCAGCCAAATCAAGATTTGGCATCAGTCCATGAAGATATTCACTATTGTACTGAGTCATGTAGACTACTTGGTTGGAGCCCGCGTGAGTATTGTAATCAGTGGTCGAAAGCTTTGAATTCAACCGTGTATGTTGTGAGATAGTAACTCACTGAAGACAGTGGTGAATGTATCGCTCGATTTTCTGGATTAGTTGAAGTTAGACACTAACACCATTAGAAACCAACTCATTGGTCTAATGGCTAGGCGCTCGCGCGCAAGAGTGATAGGTCCTGGGTTGGAATCTCGCGAGGCGGGATCGTGGATGCGCACTGCCACGGAGGAGTCCCACAATAGGACGAAACAGCCGTCCAGTGCTTTCAGGTTTTCCATAGTAGTCTAGCTTCGATGGACTCATGATCTCAACTATTAAAATTACTATAATATCCACAAATCCCTTCTGATATATATTTATATTGAATTTACAAGATAACCGTTAAATTAATTAACATAATATTTTTTATCTATTTATTTATTATAGCAATTTTATAATTGTATGCCAACAACTCATTGTACATTAAATCCACCACTTGGACGTTGTCGTCTAGCTATTCTACAATTAATTGCTTCACTTATATCATTACCTATAAGTACTAATTTATCTAAAGCAATTGTAGATATTGGATTTGTAAAAACTTCAATGGTAAATTATGATTGGTTATTTCTTTCTATTATATCCCATGTAAAATATTTTTGCGCCTTATTCAAAGTTTAGTCATATGATGTGCGTTGCATCGCTACTTTTTATCTCGGTGCTAATGGGATATGACAACTCGAGTTGATGTACGTACGTACGAAGTTCTACGTTGTGGAATGATCGACTGACATATGATATCTGACTATTAATTGATGGAATCGAATTCTTTATTCTATTATTTTAGTTTATTTAGCTAAATAGTGTATACACTATTGTTATATTATAGTTTATATCTTATTAGTTTATTTTGGTCATTTAAGCTATCGTATCGTTAGAATGAAATTAGATCAGCAAAAGATATAGGAAAGTATGAATCAAATCGAAAGATTATTTATATATGTTGTTAGGTAGGTATGTATCAACTAGCATCGATTCTTGTGGTTCCCACCCTACTCTTGACACTTTTGTTCTGCCTTGTAATAGTATACATCAGTCTAGGCGGTAGCTAAACTTGCTTAACACTTTTCTAATTTGACTAGAAATCTTTGACCTGTTCTTGCAAATGTAAATACCTATTATACAATGAAGATATTTGTTTGTTGACAAGTAATTGATACTCAATATATAAGACAAACATGATAATTCACTAGTGGATGACATCTCTGATTATGATAATGAATAACATTCGTTCAAATATCACGGGAAGCATCATTTCCAAGATTGTGGGGATGCACATTGTTGACAAGTGCCAACTAACATAAAACTATACTTTCTTACAGATTTCCTTCCACCTATTACTGCGTATATAATAAGACGATAAGTGAACGGAACTTCAATATTAAGTTCCTAAACATTCCAATGTGTAATTAAACGGTGACTTGTCACATTTCGAATGTAAATAACACAAACTCAACAAGTTGACATGATAAATGAGAATCATACTAGATTAATACTAGTTAAGCTGTTCAATAATTTAAAGGTATGTAGGATCGTGAGTAGTTAATATTAGTAGTTACTCTGGCCCCATTAATGAATACTTAGAAGATAGATGGTGGCTAGCATTGGAACCCTTTAGGACGTACATTTTATCCTGTTTAGGATTCGTTAGCTGGATATATATCTAAACATCAGTGAGAAGATTCAAACAAATAATACGAAATGAATTAAAAATATTGATATATTCTCTTTACCATCTAACTTAGCTCATATGAAGCTACAAACTATCTTGTCATCAGGTTTTGAAGTTCGCGTAATAATCTGCTAACTGCTATCTGATCAGTTCATCTATAAAAGTATAGTTTACTTTAAGGTCAACAAGAACCAATCAATATCAAAGACAATCAATGAACCACATGTGGAGAAATTCCAACAATTCACTTTTACAGATTGAAATCATGAGTCAGTTGAAGCTGGACCACCATTGAAAACCTGGAAGCACTGGACGGCCGTTTCGTCCTAGTATGGGACTCCTCAGCAGTGCGCATCCACGATCCCGCACCACGCGGTGCTCGAACCCAGGACCTACTGGCTTCGCGCACGAGCACTTAACCACTAGACCACTGAGCCGGCATCCAACGGTGTTAATGTCTAACTTCAACCAATCCACGAAGTTGCGCCACCGTACACCATTGTCTTCAGTGAGTTACTATCTCACAACAGACCTGGTTGAACTCCACTGGTAACGGCTTCAATGGTGGTCTAGCTTCAACTGACTCATGATTTCAATCTGTGAAATTTCTAAAATCTCCACAAAACCCATTCTGATAATTCACTTTTACTTGAAGTTTATCCCGATGATGTCGTTCAGAAGAACGATGAAATCTCCACAACAAAACCATCCATCTCAGAGAACAAAACTCTATGATAATCATTCACCTGAGCTACAAATCTTCTCCACTATCTCATTATAGTATAGTTTTTTTTCATGAATATTATTGATTTTTATTGAATTAAACAAACATTAATTGTATTTCCTTCTTCTTTTTCTTTCTTTCTGAATATATATACATGTTTATACTGATAGGAATTATTCGCCTTATATCCATACAATACATTTTTACATCATTATGTTACTGATATTATAAAATCAGTGTTTAAACATTCAGGACTTGTCAACAATATGAATGGTAATCATAATTCCACTAATATATCTGATGATAATAAAACAAATCATTTCATCAATACAACTCCTAGTACTATTACTGTTGAACTATCTTCTAATCATGACAATAATCAAATCACTGAATCTTTATCCCCTTCAATATCATCATCATCATCAGCTGATTCATCGACGAATACTGCTACAACTGATTCTGATAATGTAGTCAATTCAACAAATTCATCTAATACTAACCAACTTAATCCATATGATAATGGTAGTGATATTAATTTAATTCATCAAAATGAGAATGAATATAGTAGAAATATATTAATTAGTTTAATAAAAGATCATCAACTTATTGATTGGTGTTTAACATTATCCCCTTTACCATCATTAAATGAACGGTAAGTTTTCATAATTTATGATGTTTATATCAATAATATCAGTAGTCTATGAAGTGTTTGGTTTATTTTCACTGATAGTTCAATAATTAGATAATGGTATGAATGTATGAATTAAACCGGATGTTAAGAAATACATATAGAGTCCTTTTTTTTTGTTTCACTCGTCAATACTACAATGAATTTGTATTGTTAGTGTTTGATCAGGTTAAACCATAATATGATAATAACTATTTGAAATGAATGAATACTACATGTATTCTATATTCATTTAATCATTCTTATCCAATATGATGTTCTCATGTAATTGATAAATCAGTTGATGAGATTGTGAATCTTCATCGATTGAGATGATTGAGCCATGTGTTACATATGCTTGAACATCGATTACCATGATGTGCAATGCTAAAAAGTGTTGAGGATGGTTGGACGAAAGTTAGGAGTGGTCACACTGACCAAAACTTGGCATCAGTTCACAAAGTCACTAACTTCTGATCTGTTGGTAGACGTAGACTACTAAATTGGGGTTCATGCGACTGTCGTAACCAATGGTTGAAAACTGGTTGACAAGGCTCAGAATCGATCACAATGGCGTAGGTGTATACACTCTTTGTCTTCGCTTAAACCGTGAGAATAAAATTCTTTTATATCTTTCTTCCTACCTACTAATTATTTGCTCCTGTACTATATACAATCTATTTTTAATAAATTACTGCCATTGAATTAACTACTTGTATGAATTTGGTGTTGGTCTTGTTGTACTAATGAGGTGTGGCATTGTGGACCGATGCATATATATGCCCTCAAATGCCCTGGTACGGCCGAGAGTGGGGAGAGTCCGCTGTCCCTCTCGAAACGCTCTCACATGGTCACGCATATATAGCCTCTGTCATGGAAATCCTACTCAATACCTTCTCGTGACCGGTGCTTTATTCACGAAATTGAGGAAGGCGAAAAGCCAATATTCAGCGCTTTGATCGGGTTAGTGGATACGAAGAGTCGATCTAGGGGAGTTGGAAAACCCTGATTCAAAACCAAAGGTGTACAAGGGCTCCAGGATCCTAATGGAACAAATGGCGTATGAATCCATTGTTGGTCACTGGCCACCATGGGACTGTATTTCCTTACATTGCTCCACTGCATTGTGGATCAGACCTTTAGGTTGAATGCTCTGGATATGGCCTTCCAAGAGAACCACCTGTTTCAGTTTGAGCACCCGGGTAGTATCTCAGCCCTCACATTAAATCGAATGATTTATATGGTGCATATCTATTTGGTGTATCCTTGTACCGATGTTTATATGTGTATAAATATACATATATTTGGAATGACATAGATTTAGGGTAATTATCTTAATTTGAATTGTATTAATGTGAGAAAAGCTCCTGGTGAACTTAAAGAAGCTCAGAAGAAGCTGAAGACATTTCATTTAATTATCATTTGAAAGAACAATATAATCTCGATGTGTAGATTCCGGATTGGAAATATGCTAAACACCACTGCAAGCGAATTGGATGACTGTAATAAAAATTTCGTTTTCAAGTGTTCCGGTGCTCGAGTTGTATAACAATTAACTCATATTTATTCGTAACATATACAATGTTAGTTTGTAATAGAAAGAAAAGAATATAAAGTTTCAATCACAAAAGGTGAACCGCATAATGGATAAAACATAATGTTCTAATGAATTGATAACTCTATAGTTAGGTATTTACAAAAGATAACACTTTCACGAGTATATGTTTTTTCTTAAAATTAGCGAAATGATTTGTTACTCATTACATTAGAGTTAGTCAGCTACAATGGACGACCAGGCATTATTATTATTATTATTTGAACACATAGATGTTGGTACAAGGAGGCACCAAATACATATGCGCCACACAAATCTCATTTGATATGTATGAGGACTGTGATACTACCCGGGTGCTCAAACCGAAACAGGTGGCTCTCTTATGAGTCCACGCCCAGAGCATTCGACCTAAAGGTCTGATCCACAATGCAGTGGAGCAATGTAAGGAAATACAGTCCCATGGTGGCCAGTGACCAACAATGGATTCATACGCCATTTGTTCCATTAGGATCCTGGAGCCCTTGTACACCTTTGGTTTTGAATCAGGGTTTTCCAACTCCCCTAGATGGACTCTTCGTATCCGCTAACCAGGTCAAAACGCCGAATATTGGCTTTTCGCCTTCCTCAATTTCGTGAATAAAGCACCGGTCACGAGAAGGCATTGAGTAGGACTTCCATGGTAGTGTCTGTGAGAGCATTTCGAGAGTGAGTGCTAATTCTCCACACCCTCGGCCGCATTTGTTCTACAAATTCATTTACATCATCATTTGAATCTGTATACTGATATAATGAATTAGGATGTTTGTATTTTTCTTATATGAGCTCCTTTAATTGATTATCATACGGCTTATATTTCGTGATTGTTAAAATTCAGGACTACATTTTACCAGTCTTTTTTTGACAGACTGACACCTTGCTATCACTCTTGGCTATAATTGGCTTAAATCTTGTAATTATTTACATGCTTTCTTATTTAATACTCTTTGACTATGACACTTCACTCAACCTGACACAAATCAGAACAAGGAACTGTAACAATAGTGTAATTAAAATACCATTTTGAATAGTATTTGCCATAATAAGATTTTACCCCGATCGAAGCTGCTACCTTGACGCGGTGGTCGGGCTTGCCTATCGTGATGACCCAACCGAGCTATATTGGCTGGAACATATGTTCCTGCAGGTTCTACCATGCCAGGCAGGTCGATTGGTGAACGGTAAGACTAAAAGCAGCAACTCAAGGTCTGAGGGCGAAGTCGTACTGCTGACTGTAAAGAGGTGTGACAGCAGTAAGGTGTTTCCCTCGGACAACCAGCATCTGCAGCGATGCTGCCTTCTTACAAGGAAGGAGGGGGTTAGAAAAGGTCGACCCTAAAATGTCACACCTCACCTTACCTCACGAATTTCCGTCTCCGGCGGTAAGGCCCTTTGAAGAACGGAGCTAACACGTCAAAAACCTTCCACGAGAAGGCCGTGCGCGACCGGCCTCAACACTTGTCCCTTGGGCTCTGCGGTCACACTCCCAGGTCGTTAAGACCAACACTAATCCGACTTCCTTTTCAGGTTCCTCAAGAAATACCCTTCCAGGGTGTGGGCAGCCGGGAAGTGATATCAGCCCTCATACCCGTAACAGCACACGAGACCAAGTTGGTCACATTCAAATCTCTCCTACACCTCCTAATACCTCTCTTATCTCCCCGACTAACCCTCCTCACGTCTCTTTATCACCTCGCACCGCTAGGGCAAACGATTCGAGTACGTGGAACGCCATTCCTGGTCTCCTGAAACCACGATCTAAACTACACGTAGGAGCTTTTAACGTCCGGACACTGTGCCAAATAGGACAACAGGCTTCCTTAGCTAGGACTTTAGAATCTCGCGCCATCGATATGTGCTGCGTCTCCGAAACGCACATACAGGATCCGAGTAGCGTCATTCATTTGACCTCACCATGCCAAAATAAGGAACCGACTCGATTTACGCTTCGTGTATCTGGAAGCCCTGATTCTGCTTCCCGTGGCCTCACCGGCGTAGGTATGGCATTGAGTCCTAGGGCAGAACTAGCCCTCTTAGAGTGGATCCCAGTAGACAGTCGTTTGTGCGCTGTCCGACTGAACGGAACAGTAAGAATCCGGAAAGATGGGGCACTCGTCGTTGCCTCTTCGTCGTCTCTGCTTATTCTCCCACTGACTGAAGCTCAGATGATGTAAAAGATGAGTTTTACAGAAAGCTTTCCGACCTTCTCCGAAAAGCTAGACGCTCTGATGTAGTAATAGTGGCTGGTGACTTTAATGCTCAAGTAGGTAAACTAAGCGAAAGGGAAGGACACATGTGTGGATCTTATAGTATTGTGGCTCAAAGAACAGATAATGGCGACCGTCTGTTGCAGCTATGTTCAGATCACCGCCTTTTCCTTGCAAATACTAACTTTAAGCATAAGGAAAAATATCTTTTAACATGGCGACCCCCTAATTCGTCCCAACGTTGGACCCAAATAGATCACATCGCTATTAGCCACCGATGGAGAGTGTCTCGATAGAAGACTGTCGCTCATTCTGGAGCACGTGTTTAGATTCAGATCATGCTCTAGTACGAGCGCGTATTTGCTTGCGTCTTACTGGACGTAGGAAAGACGCTGCAAGGAAACCTCTCAGGGTCCCACTTAATAACAGTCAAGCTAAGAGTATATTTCAGGAACAACTAGGAAAACAGTTAGGGAGCCATGTATGTGATGCCCACCTCGATGCAGCATGGAATGATATCCGAAAAGCTGTGGAAACAGCAGTGATATCTGCAAGTACGGTAAACCAGAAGGTTAGGGAGAAACACTGGATCTCAGCAGCATCTATCGCACTGATAGATGCTCGAAAACTCACCCCACCTGGCTCTGAACATAGTGAAGAGCGGAGTCAGCTTAAGCGCAAGCTGACAAGAAGTCTACGCAATGATCGCGAACAGTGGTGGGTAGCGAAAGCAAGAGAGATGGAAAAGGCAGCGGTAATAGGTAATAGCAGACAATTGTTCAGAATCGTTAAGGAAACGGGAATTAGGAACCCGACCATTAGCGAAACAATCTCAGAGAAAGATGGACATATTATATATTCTCAATCCAGGAGATTGTATAGATGGGTAGAACACTTTAGGGATCAGTTCAACTGGCCTTCAGTTACACTTCGGTTTCCTACGATCTCTAGCCAACCTGAATGGCAAGTTAGTGTAGGTCCTCCGTCCCTTTACGAAGTTGAAAAAGCCATAGGAAATCTGAAGCGAGGGAGAGCAGCAGGCCCTGACAGGTTTACTCCTGAGATTTTTAAGGATGGTGGTCCAGTATTAGCAATGAGATTAACTGAAGTCTTAGGTAGAATTTTGGAACTGGACGTAATCCCATCTGACTGGTCTCAATCACTGATTGTGCCAGTCTATAAGAAAGGACAAAAGTCCTCTTGTGACAATCACAGAGGAATCAGTTTGACTAATATAGTGTCTAAAATATTAGCTTCAATAATACTTCGACGCCTAACCAAAGCTCGTGAAGAGCAAACTAGAGAAAACTGGCTGGTTTTCGACCTGGACGTGGTTGTTTAGATCAGATATTCACACTACGTCAGGTTCTAGAACACAGACACACGTTCAGACGCCCCACAATGGTAGTATTTCTCGACCTTAAGGCGGCATTCGACTCTGTTGATCGTGAGGTTTTATGGCAGTGTTTGTCACTGAAAGGAGTACCAAAGAAGTACATTAACCTTATAAAGGCTCTCTACTCGAACACAACTGGTCGAGTGAGAGCTTATGGCGAACTGTCATCAGAATTGATTACCTCAAGTGGTGTTCGTCAGGGCTGCCCACTCTCTCCATTCTTGTTTAACTTTGTCGTCGATGTACTTTTAGAGATAACACTTTCCTTGTCTAAATTTCCAGGGGTTGAACTTTTACTGGGAGATTCGCTTTTGACCTAGAATATGCCGATAACGTAGTTCTATTTGGTGAAGACGCTGACAAAATGCAGAGTCTTCTGACCACTCTAAGCAACAATGCAAGCATGTTTGGGATGCGATTCTCTCCCTCGAAATGCAAAATGTTGCTTCAGGATTGGGTTGTATTGACACCCGAACTGATGATAGGGAGTGAAGTAATTGAGCGTGTCGATCGCTTCACGTATCTTGGAAGTCTCATCAGCCCTTGTGGTCTGGTGTGTGACGAGATTTCAGCACAGATACAGAAGGCTCGACTAGCTTTTGCCAACTTGCGTCATTCATGGAGTAGGCGAGATATCCGTCTATCAACCAAAGGACGTGTTTACTGCTCAGCATTTCGTTCCGTCCTACTTTATGGCAGTGAAACATGGCCGGTAAGAGTAGAGGATATCCGTAGGCTACTAGTATTCGATCATAGGTGTCTTCGAAATATTGCTCGTATATCATGGGACCATGGAGTGAGTAATGCAGTTGTTAGGAAACGGGTACTAGGTAAGAATGGCAAATCAATTGATGAAGTAGTGAAACTTCATCAGTTGAGATGGCTGGGACACGTGTTTCGTATGCCCAACGACCGACTGCCTCGACGTGCTATGTTCAGTGGTATAGGAGTAGGTTGGAAGAAAGCTAGGGGCGGCCAGACCTAAACATGGCACAAGTCCATGAAGTCACTGACAAGTCAGTCAGTCAGCTACAACGTAGGACCAGGCACATATGTGCATCGGTCCAGGTTGCTATACCTCATTAGCACAGCAAGATGAACACCGGATTCATAGGAGTGGTTAGGTCAAAGGTTGCAATAAGGATATAGTATAGGAAGAAAGAATTAGTTCGTAGAAAGAAAGATATGAAGTGATTTTAATCTCTTAGTTTAAGGGAAGACAGGGAGTGTATACACCGACGCCATTGTGATCGATTCTGAGCCATGTCACCATGAGTCTCCAACCATTGGTTACGAAAGTCACGCTGACCCCAACCAAGTAGTCTGCATCTACCAACATGGCTCAGACTAGAAGTTAGTGACTTCAGGCACTGATGCCACGTTTTGGTTTGGCCGCCCCTAACTTTCTTCCAACCATCCCCTACACCGGTTAGCCACTGACAAGTGGACTGAGTCATGTCGGTAGGTGTAGACTTCCTGGTTGGGGACCGCGATATGACAGCAACCGATGGTTAGAGACCCTGAATGACTTGGCTCAAAATCGTTTGCAATGGCACAGGTGCATCCACTCTCTGTGTTCTCCCAAATTTTAATCTTCTGAATTCTTCATGTCCTTTTTTTCCTCTTTCCAAATTTATTTCACTGGATTATACTCTTTAAGTAACATCTCCAAACACTAATCTTTCCGATTACTGCTTATACTCTTACTACCTCTACCACTACGGGATTTGAATCGACAACTGCATCTCTATGCTAATGTGGTGTGGCAACTCGAACTGATGTACGTACGTACGAAGTTCTACGTTGTTACTGACTGACTGAATAAGATTTTACTGTTTTCTCAAATAGCTGACTAACATTGATCACCTTAAATACAATAATCAACATGTTCGTATCTGGTTCTTGTTCTCTTTTATTTAATCTTCTGGTGGCAGGTAATCCACTTTCGATTTTTGTAACATAATACTTATGTCTGTCAGTATAAGCAGCATACACCACAGATGTGCTTATATGTGATATTTAGGTTTTCACTCGCGTGGACATTTTTCATAAGGGATAATGATACTTTTTTTCAATTCTCAGTGTATGTATTGTGAACTAAGAAAGAGTTCTAGATAATTTGAAATGTATGTCTTGGATCCAGGATATCCTGACCGTTGTTGCCACCTTGACGTGGTGGTCGGGCTTGCCTATCGTGATGAAGCAATCGAGCTATACTGGCTGGAACAACCGTTTCTCAAGGTCCTACCATGTCAGACAGGTCGGTTAAAGAGAGGTAAGACTGAAAGCAACAAACCCAAGGTCCGAAGGCGAAGTCGTACTGCTGACTGTAGAGAGGTGTGACAGCAGTAAGGTGTTTCCTTCAGACAACCAGCATGACAGCGATGCTGCCTTCCCACAAGGAGTCGTGGGGTTAGAAAAGGTCGACCCTAAAAATGCACACCTCACCTTATCCCACGGATATCCGTCTCCGGCGGTAAGGTCTCAACAAGTACGGAGCTAACACAAAAATTACCCATAAAAAGATCGTGTGTGACCGACCTCAAGCAGTTGTCCCTTGGGCACTGCTGTCACGCTCTCAGGTCACTAAGACCACCTCTAATCCAATTTCCTTTTCAGGTACCTCCAGAACAACCCTTCCACGGTGTGGGCACCTGGGAAGTGATAACCGCCCTCATACTTCTAACAGCACTTAAGACCCTCATAATCCAGGATATAATCATTTTGTTTTGATTAATTGTTATACATGTTGATTATATATAGTTTTTCGTAATCATTATTTCCTTTAGTCCGAATGATGAGGATTCACCGAACTGCTTAGTTCGATTATCGAAACACCCTGTAAAATCAGGTTATTCAGGACATATCTGGCAAATTGGTAACCTAATCGTAGCAGCAATGAATGGTCCGTATGGAGAGTTTTTAAAATCTCTCATTCAAGGTAATTTGTTAATATATGACTGCTGCTATGCATGAATATCAACTGCTTTGATTAAAAACTAGCATTTCATCAATATACTTTCTAATTTTACCTCCTACTCTAATGAGGAATAAACATTTGCATTTCAGATATTACACCTTCTGTATAGTTATGTTACATAGATCTATCGTGGATTGGTTGAAGTTCGACATTAACACCATGATCTAGTGGTTAAGCGCTCGCGTGCGAGACTGATAGGTCCCGCGTTTGAATCTCTCGGGTGGTGGGATCATGGATGCACACTGCTGAGGAGTCCCACAATAAGACGAAACGGCCGTCCAGTGCTTCCATGGTGGTCTAGCTTCAATTGACTGATAATTTCAACTATTGACATAAATCTATATCTGCATACCATATAGAGAATTATCAACCAATATATCTGACCTTTTTAAATGCTCTATGAATTTTCTATTATCTTTTCAAACCATTGATATCGATGTTTGTTTAATGATGTATTACGATCACAAGATTCATTCACCGAATAAGAACTTTTATGTAAATTCAGAGTTAAAGGAGTAATATGTGTGTGTTACGCATAGAAAGATATGAATTAATTTAAAACTTATATTATCACTTAAAGTACAATGTGCGGCTATATTCAAAGAATAAGAGGCATTAACAAGTTCAAATTAGGTTCTATACCCTTAAAGTAACTTCTTCATTGCTGTGTTGAATTTTTTCAAGACTGTTACATGTAAGTACGTCTCAATGTAAATTTAAATAGAAAATTGTATTTCTGACGTTTCATTATTACAACTTAAACTTGTGTTAATTTTTTTTATTATTTCGGTCATTTATTTACTCTGAAGAAACATCTTATATTTAGTTACGAAACATCAGAAATACATTTTCTACTCATTTGGGGACATTAAAAAAAGTGTATTTATTGTTACCTGTCAATGTTTAAATCGTTGATGATAATTACTAAATAGATTCCAACTATAAAGATGTTATACCTATTAAGATAACTCAATAATTAATATCTTTGTTGTATACATATTTGAGTTTCAATCTATTTGTATTCTATCTACTATTGCATGTTAAACGGGCAGTAATAACATATATCGGCAAAACTGTAATTTATGGATGAACTAATCAGATAGAAGATAAAAGGCGAAATTCATTCATCCATTTAGTTAATGAACGTTTTAAGCATTTTAGCTGATGAGATGAAAACCATAAATCTAATTCTTAACCCTTAACCATCAACAGTAAATCTTAATTCTAGTTCTTGACCATAGTTTATAATCCTCATTTAGTCCTAGTTAGTATGTGGATATTCTCAAGGTCACTTTAGCTTCGCTCAACGATCTTCCATAAATTATAATCTCACCCATATACCATATTGCCATTTTAGTCAAAGATCTTTTGTTTGAAGTTATTTGCATTGTAGTGTTATGTCATATTACATCTAGACATGCAATATTGAGTGGTATGTGATTAGGTTATAAAAACGTTAAAGACTACTATTTGTCATGATATTCTCATCTGAATGTTTTGATATGAATTTGAATCGAAGTGTATATATATACCAGGATGTAGTTGGCGTATGACTGACTGATGGATAACACTCTACATTTTACATTCTTATTTTGTCTTTGTAGATTCGTTATATTTGTCTAACATATACAAACGTTTCAAAGTTCAACCTCTCGACCTTCGTGAACTTTATTGGATCATTCAGATTGATTTCTCTCTCTAATTGTTAGAATTAATTGTAAATGAATATAATTTCCTCGAGGTTTTGTGTAGAGAGCATAAGAGAACCCAATGTCTCTCGTAATCATTACACTTATCACTTTAGTTTGTTTTTTTTCTTTACAGGGAAAGTGTTTAATAATTTTCTAAAATTACTTTCTTTTTTATAGATTTACATCCGAACACTCAAAAACTATGGTCAGATTTTGTCAAAGATCTCGATGGGATCAACTCTGTGCAAGTTGCTGAGGTACACAGAAGTCTTTCTTTTCCTAATTCATTTGTATAGTATACGTTTCAAATTCAACTCAAAGTCACACTGTTTAGTTGTGCAATAATGTTTCTTAACACTCCTCTATCTTATAGTATATAATTTACTATTTAATAGTAAGAAATCCCTCCAGTCGTCTGTTCATAATATTTTGAACTTCTAGTATCACATTCATTTTGTATTCTGTGTTTGAATCTTCCCATTGAGGTTTAAGACTGGAATTGATCAGTTTCTTATTGACATATATGCATACTGTGCGTATAACCTCGATATAGCCATAATTCACAAGCATCATATGCAAACATAGATAATGGCTAGCGGTGGATTTAAAATTCAGCCCATTACACAATCAGGTGGCTATCAGGACTCAGTAGGTAAGTGGATAGAGTGATGGCGTTTCATGCGAACGGTACTTAGTTCGAGCCCTATAGGGTACATCAACTCTGAGGTGCATGTACGTCCAGCTGACGAGTCTCAAATAGGACGAAACGCATGTCCTGGATTCCACTGCTATCCACTATCCGTCTTTGCATATAACTGTAGTATCACAGTTGTAACAGTGATTGTTTGTTTAGTCGTTAGTACTGATCGATTTTGTATTGATCACATTCTATATATTTTCCGTTTCTCATAACTTTATTTATTGTGGAACTGTTTCTCCGATAGATTTCATCGTTCTTTTTTTTTCTAGACATCTCAATCTGCCATTGAAAATCTTAATCATTCTGAGTAAGTTAACTTCCACTGTTATTTTCTAACCTTTTTCATTTTTGTTCGTTACGTAACATAAGGCCATAGTATTGATTTCAAAATATTGTTATCTCCATAATGAATATTACTTGTTTACACTCATATATATTAGTACAATATAGCACCAAAAAATACATGCTCTAAACCAGTCTCTGAGTAGGCAAATAATGCACAGTGTGGAATTTGCTAGGATGACATTCGTAGGACATGTCCAACTCACCGAAGATAGTTGACACCGATTGAATTGTGCTCGAGCACACTTTGCTGAATGCATGCATTTATAACGTGTTATTACCATCGGTTTTCAGCAATCCTTCGGAGACAACGGCTTTTGAAATCCAAGATAGTCGTGACACTTTAAACTCTAGTGGTAGCCATCATTGATCGGTGGAAGGAGGCATAAGATTTGTTGCTCATTTGATCGCCGGTTCGTGCGTGGCTTCTATGGCGTCTGTCATGTCAGGTAATATGATATTACAAGCACAGCTCCTCAAAAACGTCGGTGCAAGCCTGCTGTATTCTTGAAGGAAAACTGAAGAAATAGTTGGTTTGATAGGATTGATTTACTCATGATCACTTTTGGATCCTCTATTCATGAATCCATTAATCCACAATGACTTCTGTAATCAAGAATCATTTCTTCTGTGTGCTTCATTTTGTATAATGTCAAGCTACACACTTATATGACCCATAGGAATGTAAGGTTAACAATTCATGGCTGGACTACTACATGACTTTAACCTTGTAAAAATCATTACAGTTTATGTTGAATAGCCACGTAATTAGATCTTCATATTACACTGTCACATCTAAATGCATGTACTCGATTTTTATTATGAAAATTGTGTTGTAATATAGTAGTTTTTCGAAAAGTCACTGATATCTACGCCCCAACCCCTTCGGATCGTAACAGTGAAGCTGTAAATGAGAGTTTCCACTCGTGGTGTCTGACAAATTCTCAGCACGTATTCGAAAAACTCGTTTGTCTTTTGCCAACTTACGTCACCTATGGCGGAGGCGAAATATTTGTCTATCAATTAAGGGACGAGTATATTGCGCGGCAATTCGTTCTGTTCTACTTTACAGCTGCAAAACGTGACCATTAAGAGTAGAAGATACTCATGAGCTACTAGTATTTGACCACAAATGCCTTCGAAATATTGCTCGCATCTGCTGAAATCATCGGGTAAATAATACTCAGGTTAGATGCGCAGGGTATTAGGAAATGATGGTAAATCAGTTGATGAGGTTGTGCCCTGGTCTTACTCTGTAACTGACTGACTGTTTCCACCCGTTAGTTGAATATTCAAAAAAAATATGAACGATCAAAATTCTTAGTACGTATTCCACTGTATACTTTAAACAATTCTTTAAAATTAATTAAATCAAATCATTCAGTTCTTCATTTGTTCTCATTTTATCATTTATCCTTATCAACAAAGTGTCCCATTTGTTCTGGCACCTGTTACATCATCAAATTTAATGCAAAACAAATTATTAGATCTAAATGGTAAATCATCATCTTATTTCTTAGATGATATTGACAATGATAAACATGGTGAATATGATAAAAATAATCATGAATATCTTGCTTATCATCCAGTGATACCAGCATCTACAATAGTTAATCTGCATCGACAAACTATTTTACAGAATTTTATGGATTCATGGTTAGATCCAGATGAAGAATCTGAACATAATGATAATAGTAATAGTATTTATGATCATAATAATAATAATCAATCTGAAGAAAAAGATCAAGTTAAAACACCTGATATCCATATTGGGGTTCCTGGACCTTTAGGAGAAATGTATTTTCATAACAATATTGATAGCGATGATGATTTTTTCAATGGTCGTGATAATGAAGATGATGAAAAGGATGAGAATGACGAATTGGAAGAAGGCAAAGACAATATTCACAGTAGAGGTTATTTTAACATTGAAGAGGACGACGATGACGATGATGATGAAGAAGATCTTAAGTCACCAATTCAAATTAAACAACAACATTCCAGTAAACAATCAATCATTAACACTAGTAGTTCAACACCTTTGCTGCATAATGATTCAAATAAATTAACTGGAGGTGAGTATGACTTGCATAGAATTATAAATTATCTAGCGGATTCATTCTATATCTTTTATCATTCGGTTAAAATTAACCAACTAAAAACGTTTTTAAAATTGGTCGGCTGTAAAATATATTTTTCCAGTACTTCTCAACTTCCTGGTACTACCTCCCTCGAAATCTTTCTAGATCCCCACTTGTTTATAGTCTCTTCTCGGGATGTATTACTCATTCCTTTCTCCTGGTAGCGTGTTTCCACAGACGTAAGTAAGTGGTGTTGAGAGTTCAACCCAATATTTGTATTTCATAACTCTATCTGTTAACATTAAGAGTGATCAGCTAAAACAATTAAGCGTTCATATTGTTCTGATTTTTTCCCTAGTCATCTATCTCTAAAGTAATATCTCGTATTTCTCTCATGCAATTGACAGCTCTTCCCAGTTGTTATTCATCCTTTTCATATCTGCTCCCGTTCCCCGACGTAATGTGTTCTTTTGCCTTCCTCTTTCCCACTTCCCTTCAGGATTTCAAGTATAATCCATATTCAATGGTATTAAGTAGTCTGTCGACAGAAAAGCCTCTAGACATTGATTGTGTACAAGTTGATATTCGTCCTCAAGATGTGACTGTAATTTAAGAATTATTTCTACCATGTTCAGATCTGCATACTTGTGTTTGGGTCAAACTTTCACTATCAAAGCCAGTGATATTAAGCTATTGCTCCAATCGAAGGAACCAATTTTCCCTGTGAGATTCAAACTCGTATCACCCGACGTCATAGTTTAATGATACATTGTTCTAAGCTTATCAATCTGTTATTGATGTATACTTTATAGAAATAGAGAAATAAATTAAAAAGAATGTTAAACTCATGAATAAAAGAGAAATTGCTTGTACACAGAGTTCCATCTGGAACTGTTGAATTGCTCAAGGCATCACAGTACAATTCACCAGTATCTTTTTTTGTTTCCAATCCCAATTGTTGAACTGTATAAAGTTGATATAATATTTCTTTATTGATCTGTCAACTGTATTACATTCTTTTAAAAGTACTACTATAGTGTCGGTTATCATGTTAAATCCATATATCTTATTCTAGCTTTCGGACAGGCCAATTTTTATCCATTCTTGAGTCACATTTTGACCTTGTTAAGTATTCACTTATCAACGTTGACTATTTCATATGAGTTTATCCTACTCACCACATATTTGTAGTTTATTTTTGTATGACTATAAATATTGATTAACGCTCATATGCCTTCTCCATTGTGCTTCATTTCGCTCTCTTCTTCGCTTCCTTCGTTACATCTCTCCGATTATCTGTTCCGGTCAACGATTATACACAATATATGTATTGGGAAATCCATCTTCGTATTTGACTTATTTAATTCCGTTATTCTATAACGCGATCTAAGTCTATAATGATATATATATCTCAATAGCAATCAGAAACGATCTCATTGGAGTCAGATCCCGGGACACTCACTGTACTACTATGAATTTATAAGTAATATCTGTTTGATTTCTTTCTTTCATTAAATTATACGATGATATTATGCCTAAGGACTTTCATAATTATCTTTGTTGTGTTTCTTATCTATTTATATGAATGAATAGTATCTTATGTAACAGCTCATAATAACGAATCTTCTATCAGCATAAACAGTAATGGCAAACTATCTACAACAATACCTACTCCTACGACTACCACTACTCATACTACTACTACTATTATTAATAGTAGTATATCAGGAGATATCGAAATTAAATTATTGAATAATGATGAAGAAACAGACCAAACCAAACATAATACTTCATCTGAATCAATTGTAACATTATTAAATGCAAATTTTTTTAAAAAGTATGTTTTCTATTGAATATTAATTATTTATTATGATGTTAATTGTTAATTACTTTTATCTTTATTCTTTGATCATGAATATTGATAACTGCCCATTTAAATAAATTACATTAGTGACTCTATTCATGATGTTCTTAAAGTTCTAGTCATGAATAGTTGTGTTTGACTACTGATGTTCAAACATGTCAGTAGTGAAACAGTTATCACTCAAGGGTCATTCGTTGATCATTTCACATTGTATCACGAATTGAATTCAAGTTGAACATGTGGATTATTAGTAGCTAAGTGTTCTCTTCAAGATCTGAACATTTTCGATTCAACTCTTTGACCGAAGTCATAAATGAGTATTGTTAAGTTCTCTATTATCTAGTACTCCTGAATTGTCAATTCTGATATTATTGTGTTAAACATCAACTATTGAATTAGCCAATAAATTAATTCATAATGTTTCATTCTGTTTTTCTCTCTCTATATTTGTGTGTATGTGTGTGTGTTTATTTCTCATTACTCACTGCTATTTTATAACATCATTAATTTGTGTGTTTATTTCTTTGGGGGGGACCTGGGGGTGGGAAATAATCAATATTATGTGCTTTGGTCACTTTTTGTTATTATTATCACTTTGGAAATGATCACCTATATTTATGTTATTTCATTACTTTTATACGTTGAATCCCAATCGCTCTCTCTCTCTCTCTCTCTCTCTCCGTGTGTGTGTGTGTGTGTGTGTTCGTCTCATTTGAATAGACAATTTAAATTGTGTACAATTATCTAAATTTATTTCTATTCATTCTATTTGTTCCTTGCTCTCTCTCTCTCTCTCCCTCCGTCTCGCTTTCAGTCTCTGTGTATATCTCTTCTTCTATATATTCTTGACAGTAAATGTTTCACAATTCTCAAAATGTGCACTTTTTATTTTACTTATTACTATTTCAAGAGTTTTGAAAAGAAAAAGAAGAAAGAAGAAAAGAAAAGAGGACACAACATGTACACAGTTTTTTTGTTTTCTTGTTCCCAAGACAGTATATACATCTCAAATGACTTAGTCACTATCTTATTTTCTTTGAAATTATAGTTGAAATTATCTTCGGTGAGACTATAATTTATCGATGACCTTTGAATGATGCTAGAATGACTTTGAAAGTGTTCACCTACTGACTAGGAACAAATAAGTGTGATAAGCCAGTATGAGGAATTAGTAGAATGATGATTTATAGTCGATGGGTAATGGTTAAGAATTAGATATAAGGTTTTTCATCACAAACTGACATCAGCTATACAATGCTAAGATTCAATGAATTTCATGCCAAAATCTGAAACCTGTTATTTTATACCTGATTTATTCGTCTATACATTATAGTCTCGCTTTCTATTCACAATGGTTCCATCATTTGTAGAATCTCAGTTGTTGTTGTTGTTGTTGTTTTCTTTTCAATATATTAACAGAGAAACATCAATGATATCAATATTGTGTGCCTTTAATCTAATCGAATTATTATCTCATATATAATTGTGTCATTTTTTTCTTGTATCAATGAAACCTTCATTATAGAGTGAATACTACTAACAAAAATTGTGGATAGTAGTAGTAGTAGTATTGTATGTTTTATTCAATTTGATTCATTTAAATCCATCATGGTGACAGTCTCATATTCATGTTAACACCTTATTTTTCTCCTCTTTCAATAGTGTGTTAAACAACAGTTTCTTTTTTCATATAATGAAAACGAATGACTTTTTTTTAATGTAACCAGACATTAGCTTAAATAAACAAACAAATCAACAACAAAAACAAAACCTACCAAGCATTAAGCACATATAGTTTCATCCTTATTTTAGATCTTCCAGAACAGTATGCGTTCTAATCTTGAAAGATTGTTTATCATAGTGTATCAATTGTGGTAATGTTGTATTATTTGATCAACAACCAGTACATATCTATATATACATGGAATACATTTATTGTGTCTTTAATAATCTAAACATCATTGTATGTTTGTATATTATTGATTTGAATTAATGACGAAAACTACCTTATAATTTATTTATTTAAACACATAAACAAGGAGGTATCAAATACATATGCGCCACACAAGTCACTTCATTTCTGTGTGATTATGATACTGTCCCGGTGACAAGATTGAAACAGGTGGTTTTCTCAGGGGATCACACCCGGAGCCTTCGACCTAAAGGTCTGATCCACAAGGCAGTGGAGCATCATTGTAAGGAGATGCAGTCCCAGTGACCAACAATACTCCATTTATTCCTTCAGGATGCTGCAGCCCATGTGAACCATTGGTTTCGGATCAGGGCTTTTCAATTCCCCTCGATGGACTATCAGTATCTACCAACACGGTTAAAACTCGGGACATTCGCTTTTCGTCTTCTCAATTTCGTAAACAACACTTTTGCCGAAAGAAGGCAGTGACTAAGACTTCCCTGGCAGTGGTTTTATGCAAGTGGCGATATGAGAGCATTTCCAGAGTGATGGCTAATTCTCCTCACTCTCGGTCGTACCGAGGCATTTGGAGGGCACCTTATAAAATATACAATTATCTTTATATTCATTAAGTAATAAAGACTTCATCGAATTCACTGGCTTTTAACAAGTAAATTTTAGTATGAAACCTTGCTATAACTAATTCAATTTGAATAATTACATTTACCTCACACGATACCGATGTAATTGACAGTCTAATACATGAAATGTATATTCGTACTAAATGACTTAGTAAAAGAATTTCATCAATACCATGAAGCATACTTCATAAATTAACAGGAAAAACAACGGTAGATAACATCTCTTTATTTGTTTACCTTTCCCAAGCAATCAATAGTATCGATTCCTTAGAGAAATAATAGTGTTTGTTGCCATTCTACTCATTTCATACAGTGTTTCTTCCGTGAAGCATCTTTTTATGTCGACATTGATTCGTACAATTCAGAACTGTAATCATAACAAACCTGTCATACGTCACTATCTTTTCTATTGTTCTATACAGTATATGGATATTCACATTCATATAGGTAATCTACATTTGACTAGTTTTATTCATAATATTAACGAAACATTGTCTGGTGACTAATTGCGTCATACTTGTATCCATTATAGAATAATATTTAGATGTATATTCTTAAATCCAGGTAATCAGTCTTAATCCCTATCACTATGTCATTTTTACTGTTTCTCAGTCTATTTATGATAGTCTTTTCAATACTAACTTACGGCTGTCACCCCTCGTGGAGGAGCATAGGCCGCCGCTAACTAGAACAAATAAGTTCAGGTATTTCCAATCACCGATTGTTTTTTTTGTGAATAATGTCAAGTATATGCAATCTGTATTTAACAAATCAACTGAAATCACATAGTAGCTATTGGAATTATAGAATTGATCAGATTGTATCAAAATATGTAAAGTTTTACCCTCCATTATAATTGAACCTATTGACTTCAATTCAGTATGCGTGTCCCTATAACATAAATTCCTCCAAACTACTTGCGAGTAGTGTATATATATATATATATATATATTTATATTTATAACCTTTTAATATCACTACAATTTTAATTTTTTGATTGAGATCATTAACCGATTGATGTTAGACCACCATTAAAAACCTGGAAGCACTGGACGGCCGTTTCTTCCTATTTTAGGACTCCTCAGCAGTACACATCCATGATCGTTTCATGATCTCAATGAAAAAAGTAATTGTCTCCAACACCCTATACTAATAATATTCATTTTATCTAATTCTATATTTCAGGTGAACATTGATTACCTTACACAATTTCATCTGATATCGACATGTGTCCATGTAAAAATGTGTTACGCAACACATGATGTTTTTCTTTGTTCTTTCTTCCTCAACAAGAAAGAAAACTATAAAATTCGACGATGATGACCACCGTCATAATTTCTGCTGGTGTCGCTGTTGTTATTATTATGATTATTACTATTCTAACAAAACCAGTTGCAAACATTGAAATCTGACTTACCCTATCATATTTTGATGTATACAAATGAATGAACCTACTCAGATACACCCTACTAGTTATTTAAATTGTTTAAATTTTTAAACATCCTCTCCTTTTCTCTCTTAGTCACTATGTGTTACATAATTATTTTTGTTTTTTTTCTTGTGTGTCTGTGTGTGTGTGTGTGGTTCATTTAAATGATAATGATTCTCATTTATGTGTGTAGATTTTGATCATCCCTTCCCCCTCTTTTGTTTTTCTAAACAAACTTCATAATCCATTTAGTTTAACCGATTGATTCCATTAATAAGATAATCCAAAGGGGGGAATAAAGTTGTAAACTAAGCTAAAAATTTGTATCTAGACCGTTTTTTTTTATTCATGGATATTATTATAATTTGTATATCATGAGTGATGTTTTTATTCATTTTTCTTACTCTCTCTCTCTTTCTCTGATATTTAGACATCAGTTTAATTTATTCGATAAAGATAATGCGAAGGTAACTAGTAACTGTTTCTCCTTTTTTTTTTTCTTTACTTTCGTTTTATTCAATGTGCTACGTAGTGTATGGTTGGTTTTATATATATATTGAGTGCTGCATATTATATAGGGGTGAGGTGTGTGTGTGTGTTTGTGCATTGATTATGTCATCGATGAAATGTATGTCTGTTATATAATTTATGATAAATATACTGTAATTATAAATTACTCAATAACCATGTAAAGAATAACAATAACATTCATAATGATAGGAATTGTTACTTTTCGTTTGTGCCTACGTTCACAGGTATATATATACACACACACAGCAGTTCGTTCCGTCCTACTTTATGGCAGTGAAACATGGCCGGTAAGAGTAGAGGATATTCGTAGGTTACTAGTATTCGATCATAGATGTCTTTGAAACATTGCTCGTATATCCTGGGACTATCGAGTAAGTAATGCAGTTGTTAGGAAATGGGTACTATGTAAGGATGGCGAATCAATTGATGAAGTAGTGAAACTTCATCAGTTGAGATGGCTGGGACACGTGTTACGTATGCCCAACGACCGACTACCTCGACGTGCTATGTTCAGTGGTATAGGAGTAGGTTGGAAGAAAGCTAGAGGCGGCCAAACCAAAACATGGCACAAGTCCATGAAGTCACTGACAAGTGGACTGAGTCATGTCGGTAGGTGTAGACTACCTGGTTGTGGACCGCGAGATGATAGCCACCGATGGTTAGAGACCCTGAATGACATGGCTCAAAATCGTTTGCAATGGCACAGGTGAATCCACTCTTTGTGTTCTCCCAGATTCTAATCTTTTGAATTCTCGATGTCCCTTTTTTCCTCTTTCTAAATTTATTTCACTGGATTATACTCTATAAATAACATCTCCAAACCCTAATCTTCCCGGTTACTGCTTATACTCTTATTACCTCTACCACTATGGGATTTGAATCGACTGATTCTGTAACAACAATCACATCCTCTGTGAACTGTTTCGATATTGTCTTTAAGAATCACAAGCTTTATACACAAATATATATAATGGATTTTGAGATGGTGGAGAAGATTTGTAGCTCAGGTTTATGATTTTGGTGGAGTTTTGTTCTCTGAGCTGGATGATTTGGTCATGGACCTGATTGAAAGGCTTCTGAAAATTCTCTGGTGTTTTTGGAGTTTCCTCTGTCTAAGATTTTCATATTTTTGTAATCGGATGAGTGTCCGCAGTTGTCTACGTGTATTGATATGAGTGAGGAGATATCATGGATATCACAGGATCAATCCTACGCAAACCAAAGGATGAAATAACAAAGGAAAACTTATCAAACATCATCTAAAAAATAAATTGTACCAACTGCGACAAACACTACATCGAACAAAGTGGACGCCCCCTCCACCTTCGCCTACATGAACATCAATTAGCAGTCAAACGCCATGATTTCTCTTCACTCGTATCAATACACGTGGACAACTGCGGACACTCATTCGATTAGAAAAATGTGGTAATCTTAGACAGAGGAAACTCCAAAAACACCAGAGAATTTTTAGAAGCCTGGCACTCAGGTCAATCAACAAGCGTATTGAAATCAATCCAATTTATCAACCAATCAGGAAAATCATGCATAAATATAGGAACAAAAATCAAACACCAATGGGAGACACAACCAAAACAAAGAAGTAAACAATGATGAATTTAAGATCAACAAGAACCAATCAGCAGTGAGGTGCACAGAACGAGCTGTGAAACACCTATGGAGAAATTCGAACACTTCACTTCTATCTGAAGTTTGTGCTGATGATGATGTCGTTCAGAAGAACGATGAGAGCTCCACAACCAAACCATCCAGCTCAGAGAACAAAACTCCATCAAAATATATAATGGATTACTGAATTGCATTACTAGAGATTATCTCTCTTTGTTGATAGAACAAATAGTATTATTGAATTCTTCTGTTCTTTCCTTTTTTTTCTTTATTATTAAAACATCTATCTATATACAAATAAACTTGTTGTTGTCAGGGGACATTTTAAATATTGGCATAGTTACAATCTATTTAAAAAATTACACCAAAATCAATGAATTGTAACTATGTCTATATCACCTTTTTTGTTGTTGTTGTAAATAAATGAATTACGAAAATCGAAATTGTAATTTATCATACATCGAAATATAATGGTCAATGATGTTCCTTTTTTTCTCTCTCTCTCTCTCTCTCAACTGATGAAAGAAAAAAACAAACAAAAAGAGAATATGACTGTTATGAATGATTCATGTTGTATGGCAACACTTTTTCTCTTTGTGCGTGTGTGTGTGTGTGTGTTTTTGTTCCCTTTAGTTGCTAATGTAAACATACATACACAATGTGAATACTCTTTTTGAATTGTTCTGCTTTTTGTAAAAGGTTTTCATCAATTTGCAATACCTAATTTACACTAAAGATACATTGATAAGTTATATACAATTAGTTCTAATGTATTAATAATAATAGAAGATGATCCTCTTTTGATGTATGTCAATGAATAATTGGATCATTCTATAGATGAGATGGAATTCTGATTCTGATTCATTCATAGAACAAATAGTTTTCTTGTATTGTACAACAGATTAGTTATTACTGGGTCCACATTTATTCATTGACATGTATACACATCCTCACACATACTCATAGACAGTTATGTGGAGGATGGTCTACACAGATGTACATACATGAAGAAGATGAATTCGATAAGATGGAATAGATCTTGCCCATCTTGAGTGAATTATTCCACAAATCTTTACGGAGGATGAAATCTGTTCGATAAAAATCAAAAAAGTAAATTTTTCAGTAGTAAAATATTTTAGTGAACTGATATACTAGAATGAATTGATAACAACTGCTTACTAAATGTTAATCTAAACACAAAATGCTTTCGCAGTATACAGTTGTGAATATTATTAGGTTTTTGATTGAGATAATGAATCGATTGATGTTGGAGGGGATTCTTGGAGTTTCTAGTGAGAAGCCGTGACCAGTGAAGCTAATCCGTGTCAGGTAGAGATAGGTATCTACTTCGGTACAATGGAAGATGGTCGCACAATTTTGCGGATTGGTTGACTTTAGGCATTAACATTGTTGGATGCCGACTCTAAGCGCTCGCGCACGAGACTGAAGGCCCTAGGTTCGAATCTCGTAGGGCGGGATCGTGAGTTCGCACTGCTGATGAGTCACACACAATTGTACGAAACGGCCGTAGAGTAGTAACAGTTGTAAAACAATGCACCAAGAAAAATCATTTTGTTTAAATTACAGACTAGACACCAGCAATCACTTAGAACCTAGCCATGATTAAGTTGCTTACTTAAGCATATCACCACTCATGGGGGAGAGTATAGGTCGGTCGCCAGCATTCTTCATCATAGGTTCCTACTTATCACTTTTTCTCTAACAGAAGTTACTCCTAAAATATCATCTCCAAATTGACTAAATCATTATCATCAGAAGGGGTTTTGTTTATCTTATAGTAATTGTATGGTTGAATTCATGAGTCAATTGAAGCTAGAACATTAGGTAAACCTGGAATCACTGGATGGCCGTTTCGTCTTATTGTAGGACTCCTCGGCAATGCGCGTCCGGGACTCCCCCTCGGGGTTCGAACCCAGGACATATCAGTCCCGCCCGCGAACGATTAACCTCTAGACCACTCAGCCGGTCGGCATCCAACGGTTGGGCCACCGTTCACCATTGTCTTCAGTGAGTAACTATCTCATAGCAATAATTTTAACAAGGAAACGATTACTCATTATTAAGATATGTTTTGAATTTTTAAGATTCCAGTCACTCGTATGTAAATAGTTGGTAAGGCTCTAATAGTTATCTAGTACTTTAAAATACTTTAGCTCAAGTTACTTTGTAGAAAAGCTCCAATTCAGACGTAATAAGGTTGTTTCTTTTACAGTTATCAGATATACATAAACTAATCATAGATAAACAACTCTATACATACAAAAATAATTAAGATTTACCTGGTGAATTGTCGACTGTCTTGATGTACATCCATTTCAGCCATTTTGTAATCATTTAACTCCCTACGAATCTGTGCCTAAATTGGATATATTTGACATAAAACATATTTTACCAGAAAAGGGGTTTTGGTGAGTTAATAGTTGAATTCATGAATCAATTAAAGCTAGACTTCCATGGAAAACTTGGAAGTGCTGGATGGCGGTTTCATCCTAATATGGGACTCTTCAGAAGTGCGCAAGCCATACTAGAACGAAACGTTTATCCAGTGCTCCCAGGTTTTCCATGGTGGTCTAGCTTTAATTGATTCATGAATTCAACTAATAAAACCATATTTAAACTTTATCTACTAATCTCTTTTATAGGTTTGTCTTTGTCTTAAAGGGCAAAATTAAAATATAATATTTGTTGCTGGGTATATGCTATGGTCGTTGGGTTTACTTACTTACCCTTGTTACCCTCAATCGAGCATAGGCCGCTTACCAGCATTCTCCAGTCCACTCTGTCCTGTGCCTTTCTTTCGGTCGTTGGGTTATATCATTTGTGGAATCTGGGACGCGAGTTTCGTCCTATTTTGGATTCGTCAGCTGGATTTACTTGCATCTTAGCGTTAATGTTCACTGTGGGGCTCAAATTGATTTGAAAAATTATAGTTTAGACTGGTAATTTGCTCAAATAACTTCAGTGTATAGATTAATCCGTCAAATACAGAAACCATCCATAAATAGTATTTAAGTTTGTGATGAATTCTCAACTTTCCTGTAATTCTTTATGATTTATATAACTCAATCATCTGGATAATGGAATAAGTATTCAAGGCGGCACTGAATGGTGATTCTGCCATATCAAATTACTTACTTACGCCATCCAACTCTATCCTAGCCGATTCTTTCGAGCTCCTTCCAGTTGTTATTCATCCTTTCCATATCTTCTTTTATTTCCCGACGTAATGTGTTCTTTGGGCTTCCTCTTTTCCGTTTACCTTCAGGATTCCAAGTTAGGGCTAGCCTCGTGATGTAGTTTAACGATTTGCCTAATCTATGTCCTATCCATTTCCATCATCTTTTTCGAATTTCCTCATCTGCTGGAATCTGGTTTGTTCTCTCCCACAGAAGGCTGTTGCTGATGGTATCCGGCCAGTGGATGTTGAGTATCTTGCGTAGACAACTATCTATAAATACTTGTACTGCTATATCAAACTCAATTCAATTTAAAATTGTGGATAGCTAAGCTTAGTCTGTTTTCTGAAGGGATTGTATTTTTCAGAAAAATTAAAGCATATGGACAACAATCGCTATGTATAAGTCTCAAACTAAAGTCGTTTCGTCTTAGTATGCGATTTCTCAGCAGTACACAACCATGACTCCATCGAGTATTGAATACAAAACTCTACCTCACAGTACGAATGGTTGTTTAAATAAGGTCAGCTTGTTTTATAACCTATACATGGTGACTGCGTGGTAAGATGGCTAAGAGTAGCCGAATAAATACGTGGCACTAGCTCCCATAGATTGATTCAGACTGCTTGATTGAGATTCGTATGATTGAGAACTTGCTTAGTGTTGCTCAGAATTCTTCTTTATGTCTCAAGTGTATTCACTTTTTGTTTTATTCTTCGAATTAACAGTTTCTTCTTCAGTCATATTCTTAAGATGAAATCTTTTCAACAACAGTTGTGGTATATTCTACTGATATCTACATATATGAGTAGTATATATCATCAATTGAAAGTGAAATATCTGGAGGCAGAAGATTAAGATCTTTACTTACTTTATCTTTTGATGTTAATCTTATCCATGGTTTATCAGCACTTCGATCACATGGTTCCAATTCTTGTACTTCAACGAATTCAGAAAATCTTAACATAAACATTTCTTGTGTCATACCGTCTGTATAGATAGATGACTAAAAAACAAGGATCGAGAATACAAAGGAATGGTGATTATATTTTATCTAAATTAGATCAGATATGTGATTGTTCACTAGAAGTTAGTTATTGGATGACTTTGTACTTTCACAATTGATTGATCACTGAATGGTGATCAATGTCATGTGTGTCAAATCATTCTTAGTGCAGATCAAATATTATCGACAAAGTTGCAATGTGGCAACTAGTCTAGGTGAATCAACGTTTCGTGCACTATGTTGAGATATAATGGTGGTTGGAGGTAGTCGACAGGAAACCCTGGACCCGAGTTTCGTGCTACTTGGTACTCGTCAGCAAGGTTTACCTGTATTCTTGAGGGAACTGGTGCTCCCTGACCGATTCGATCCCATATCACCCAGCTCCAGAGTCAGAGACGTTACCACTGGGCTGTCCAAACCACAACCAACCTCCTGTAGGACTGAGATGTATTCACAATTGATTGATCACTGGGTTATGTTCAATGTCTTGTGTGTCAAGTCCTTCTTAGTGCAGATCGAATACTATCGACCAAGTCGCGATTTGTACTTTCTTTGTATAGTTATGATTTGATCAATATTTTGTGTATATCCTTTGCTTTTGACTAGAGCGAACTGGATTGATAGCTGAAAATTAGTGAGTTTTTAAAGATATCATCTAAGTATTATGACAGGTGATGTCTACAATCTGATATTGAAACATGGTATGCTATCTGCTGACCTCCCAACCGACTACCTGAGTGAGAAAATGCATTGGACTATCGGATATTTATTAATTTATTAATTTATTTTAACACAAGGAGGAACCAAATACATATACGCCACACAGATTTCATTTGATATGTGTGAGGGCTATGATACTGCACGGGTGCCCAGACCGAAGCTGGTGATTTTCTTAGGGAGCCATACCCGGAGCCTTCGACATGAAGGTCTGATCCACAAGGCAGTGCAGCAACGTAAGGAGATGCAGTCCCATGGTAGCCGGTGACCAACGATTGGTCCATACGCCATTTGTTCGTTCAGGATACTGGAGCCAGCCCATGTGCACCATTGATTTGGAATTAGGGTTCTCCAACTCCCCTAGGTGGACTCTCTGTGACCACTAACTCGGTTAAAGCGCCGGACGTTCGCCTTTCGTTCTCTCGATTTCGTAAGTAACACCCTCGCCACGAGAAGGCAGTGAGTAAAACTTCTCTGGCAGAGGCTATATAGACGTGGCCATGTGAGAGCATCTTGAGAGGAAGAGCGGACTCTCGGCCGTACCAGGGCATTTAATGAGACCATCGGATAAAATGTACAAATACTCATTCATATATAGATAAATACCATTTTAATCCTTAGAAATATTGACTCATTTCTTAGCCAATGAAATACACTTGTTCTTCAGGTCACTTCTAATGGCCATCAATTAATCTTCTCATTAGGTTACTACGGTTTCTTGCTAACCGATCTCTTGGTTCACATGAATATATCCATGACTAATCTAATATTGAACAACATTCATCTACCTAATAGTTAATTACATTATAAATCTAATTGTATAGTTGACTTTATTACAGCAACAGTACAGAATAAAAGTCCTTTGTCTCATTGAACATTTTCCATAAATCATTGTCTATATCAATTTCATATTGAGAATAAAATAAATTGAGATAAACTTACAGTTCTAGCAAGTTCTTTTAATAACTCCTTTCTTCTTAACCATTTAGCCTCTTCTGAAGCATCTAAAAGATAAGTTTAAGCAAAAAATTCAAGAATGCATTCGTTTAATCATGGATTATGTTTTCTTTTATCAAATCCCCTACTACTATACTCGGAGCCTTTGATCGAAAGATCAAATCGAAAAGGCAATAGAGCAACGTCAGGAGATGCAGTCTCATAGTAGTCGGTGACCAATAATTTGTTCATACGTTATTTGTTGCTTCAGGATCCTGGAGCCTATGTACACCATTGGTTTGAAATCATGGTTTTCCAACTACTCTAGGTGGATTCACCGTATCCACCAACCCGATTAAAGTGTTGGACATTCGCTTTTTGTCTTCTCAATTTCGTGAAATACATCCCCTTCGCGAGGAAGCAATGAATAGGACTTCCCTGACAGTGGTTGTATGCACATGGCCATGTTACAGAATTTCGGGAGAGAGAGCTGACTCTCATTAAGATGAATTAAGTTAATCCCTTTAAATATACTGAATTTCATGTTCTCTATTTAATGATGATGGCTTAATCCTACCTGATGAAACATATGGTTTAAAATACTTTTAAAGCTTCTCTCGGATATCTATTAAGGTGATGTGTTAATACGTTAACAAGACTAATCATGTTACATCCGAGTAAGGATTCGAGACGTAAAAGTGAAGAATCAGATTAACACTAAACAAAACTTTGCTTCACTTAATTATAATCAGTCCAGCATTCTCTAACCCACTCTGTCCTCCGCCTTCTTTTCTAGTTTCATCCAATTCTTGTTCATTTTTCTCATGTCTAACTCCATTTCCCGGAGTAATGTGTTCTTTGGTCTTCCTCTTTTCTTTTGGCCTTCAGGATTCCATGTGAGGGCTTGTCTTGTGACGCATTTTGGTGCTTTCCTTAATGTGTGTCCTATCCATTTCCAGTGCTTCTTCTTGATTTCTTCCTCCGCTCGGATCTGGTTTGTTCTCTACCACAGTAGGTTGTTGCTAATAGTGTCCGGCCAACGGATTCGAAGTATTTTGCGTAGACAACTGTTAATAAACACCTGTATCTTCTGGATGATGGCTTTCGTAGTTCTCTAGGTTTCCGCCCCATACAGTAGAACTGTCTTGACGTTTGTATTGCAAATCCTGACCTTGGTGTTGGTTGACAGTTGCTTTGAGTTCCAGATGTTCCTCAGTTGTAAATATGCTGCTCATGCTTTGCCGATCCGCGCCTTCAAATCTGTATCAGATCCACTCTGTTCATCAATGATACTGCCCAGATATGTAAAGGATTTTACATCTTCCAAATCTTTTTCGTCAATTTTGATTGGATTGGTGCATGCTGTGTTGTATCGAGGAATCTTGCTTTTCCCTTTGTGTATATTCAGACCGACTGCTGCTGAGGCTGCTGGTCGTTTTCTCCTGAATTTGTTGTTGCGATTGCGATAGGAGGGCCAGATCATCTGCGAAGTCTAGATCGTCCAACTGCATCCTAGAAGTCCACTGTATCTCGTGCTTCTCTTCAGATGTTGATGTCTTCATGATCCAGTCGATCACTAAGAGAAAGAGGAAGGGTGAGAGTAAGCAACCTCTCCTGACACCGGTCTCTACTTCGAACGACTTTGTCAACTGTCCTCCATGCACAATTTTGCAGTTTAATCCATCATAGGAATTCTGTATGATATTGACTATCTTCTGAGGCACGCCGTAGTGTCGAAGAAGTTTCCATAATGTTGTTCTGTGCACGCTGTCAAATGCTTTTTCGTAGTCAATGAAGTTGATGTAGAGTGATGAATTCCATTCAATTGATTGTTCCACAATGATCCGTAGAGTTGCTGTTTGGTCTGTACACGATCTATCCTTACGGAATCCAGCCTGTTGGTCACGAAATAGGGCGTCTAAGGAGTCCTTCATCCTGTTTAACAATACCCTGTTGAAGACTTTTCCTGGTATTGAGAGAAGAGTGATGCCCCTGTATTTTTTCTCATGTGATCACACTAATGATGAGACTATAATTTATGGACGAGCCAATCAGAAGAGTTTCAGGAATTTTAAGGTCACGGCGGTCAGTTTAGGACCTGGTGCTCACGTACGATCGGTTCATATAGGAATTTAGATAAAACAAATGGGATCATTAAGAAGTTTCTTTATTTGCCATTGTGGTAATCAGCTGACTTGTGGACCTTGTGCAGACTACCGTGATGATGTTGTCTTCCAATGTAGTATGTGTTAAAGGGAGAAGTCTGCTAGAATAGGATATTTTCGCTCGATTCAGCGTGGGACTAATACAACTTACAATAAGTGTTGCGGACTGCATAATAAAAGCACCAGTAACACTGGCTACTACGGGGTACTGCATTATATACGGATGATTGAAGAGCGTACCAATATAAAAGATTTGTTCAAAGGTCATCCACAGATTATAGTCTTGCCGACCGATTATCTTGTTGTAAATAATAGGATCAGAATTTTTCATCTATACATGATTATTCAGCATTTCTTCCCAATTCACCAACCTTAGCCTATGGATGAAGGTTAATTTGTTGAAAAGCATCATTTCCCTAATCATTTTAAGGAATCAATAAACTTAAGAACTGAATTCAATCTGAAAAACAAATAGATAGTATCAATGTTGTTTATCTTACCTGAACTTTCATTGCTTCCAATTAATAATTCACAGAAATGTCTTTGAGGTAACCATCTTGTTAACAAGTGCCCAACTGGACCATAACCACTGGCACATAAGGAAGGTGAAAGTACTTCAGTTATCAAAGGTTTGGGTGAGTACTCATCTTTTATTGAATTGGACAAGGAATCGTCACTATTTTCATCGGTTTCACAGTCATCGTCATCATCATCATCATCATTCGTATTTTCTTCTTCTTCCTCCTCTACCAAATCAGTCGTTCCATTCGTTGAATCACCAAAAGAATGTTTTCCGTTTATCACATCTTCAATAAGATCGGAAAGAGGATGATCTCTTTGATGACATACATCATGTTTTTTGTTTGTCTCAAGGTAACATTCCATACTATCGCGTCTCAAGAGCTGTGATGACATTACAAAACAATGAAGCATAGTTTAGTTCTAATGAATTAAAATAGAAACTTTTCAGAAAAGGGTTTTATGGAGACAGTAGTAATTCTAATAGATAAAATCATGAGTCAACTAAAGTTAGACCACCTAGGAAAACCTGGAAGAACGGGAGGGTCGTTTCCTCCTGGTATGGGACTCCAAGATGGTCTAGCTTCAATCGATTCATGAATTCAACTGTGAAAAGAAACTTTTCAACAACATTTTTGTGGAATTTGAAAACGGAATCGAATTCTGTATGAAAAGCCGAATTGATGTTTTTTTTTACAAAAGATTCTAAATGTAAAGTTGAACGTATTTAATTATAATCGGAATGCACATTGTCTAGATACTTCTAGGTGTGAACTTGTTAGGCTTCGACAAAATATGAAATGGCTTATCTGTCTATAATCAATTCATCCGTCAGTCAGTCAGTCAGTTACACCATAGGACTTGGCATATTTATGCATCGGTACAAGTTGACACACCTCATTAGCACAACAAGATGAACAGCGAATTCATAGATGTAGTTAATTCAATGGTAGTAATATATAAAAGAAAGATTTCATATAAGAATACAGTACAGGAAGAAAGAATCATAAAAAAAGGTATAAAGCAATTTTAATCTCACAGTTTAAGAGAAGACAGAGAGTTTATACACCGACAACATTGTGATCGATTCTGAGCCATCTCACCAAGAGTCTACAACTATTCATTACGATAGTCTGCATCCACCAACATGGCTAAGACTAATTGTTGGTGACTTTCTAGACTGATGTCACGTTTTGGTCAGTTTCACCGCTTTTAAATTTCTTCCAACAATCTCCAACACTATTTTGCATTGCGCGTCGTGGTAATTAGTGTTCAGGCATACTTAACACGTGACCCAACCATCTCAGTCGATGAAGATTCATAATCTCTTCAACTGATTTACAATCATTCCCTAATATCTTGTATCTAACCTCAGTATTACTTATCCGGTGATCAGTCCATAAATACACAACACAAGCTAATTAAGATCATAGGACTTGAACTAGTTAAACACCAAACAGATCAGTTCGTTTATATCCGGATGAATAAGTACAGTATTAGTGATGGTAATTCAAATATGTAGAGTTTAGTGGATATTTTACTAACTTCTATTTGACTACTAATGAGTAGCTTAAAACATTTTGTTTCTTTTTTGCCAGTCTTATAATCAAATAACCGAATCATAGCAATTGTTAAAACAGTGTTTAGTATGAATGAATAGAAAATAACTACTTTAATTCCATGATACCTCAGCCAAATATTTTCAGTAGTTTCTTGTATAGTCCTAGTTTTTCACATTAATAAAATCAAAGTTGACCAACTACTTGTTCCTAAGTTAATTTACTCAATCTATGCTGTTTGTAAAGATACCTTTGATGATCCTTAATCTAACAACTAGAATCCTTCAGTTTGACATGTATATAGAGTAATAGGAAGAGATAAGTTGAAATCACGACCATAAACAGTTGGAATAGTAAAAGCTAACTAATACAACTATCTATATCAAACAACTTCATCTGGAGTACCTCTGGCTCTACTGCCGGTTCAAAGCCCGTATAAAGGAAGAAGGATGGGCATGAGGTTAGTGATTCCATCCCATAGAAAACTCACCAAGAAAAAACAAACGCTAACCGGAAAAGTAGAATCCAGTGAACCTAAATCACTTAGATATTGTCAAAATAGTGAAAGAAAAAGAAAATCGCTTACTTTGGAATGAAATCGTGGAGTTAATGCATTTGAATCAACATCCTCATCATTATCATCTTCTATCATATCGTTATTCTCAATTATATCATCATCATCATTCGTTTCATTATCATTTATTATATTCATTTTCTTTGAATTCTTCATGTCATCTTCATGATCTTCTTCTTCTTCTTCTTCTTCTTTATCTTCTTCTTCTTCTTCTTCTTCTTCTTCTTCTTCTTCTTCTTTATCTTCTTGAAATGATTCATAATAATTCTTATTGGATCGTTTTAATTCAGGTGAATATTCACTATATTCAATGTTAAGATTATTTCTATTAGATAAATCTAATTGATTTGGTAACACATTTGAATCATTGAATGTTTTCGAATTTGTTTTAATCATTGGTTTCATATTCATGATTGTATTAGATAAATCCGTTAATTGATCATTGAATAAATATCTCATTTCATTTGGTGTTGGTGGTGTTAATGAAAATGAATCAGAATTTAAAGGATTTGGTGATATAGTAACATGTTCATCTTCATGTTCATGTTCATGTATTGATCGATGTACACTAAATGGTAACAAAATGAAAGAAGAAAACTGAAGTGACCTATTTGAATATCTCTGAGCTACCCTATTCCTGACATCAACATATTATACCAGATCATGGATAATTGAGTTTGTTCATAGTGCATTCTATTAAGCCCTTTTATTAACTTATTTAACACATAGAGTCATTCGTACAATAACAACTTATCTTATATGATTATACCTTTATTATTGTTACACTTTTGTATGAATATGTATGCTTGAGCATTGCTTTGCTTACTCTGTCTACTTATATATTCATTGTGCTAGCTTTATTATTATTAGTCGCTTAATTGATTCATATATATGTATTATATGTACATTTTAATCCTGTTCATTAACTCACTGATTATAACTATTTGTAATTGTGTGAAATAATCTACTATCTAGTGTTATTCTGGTTCTCTATTCTGGGTCATGAATCCTAAGTCTCATATAACGTGACAAGTTTCATTATCATAGTAAACCTGAAAGTGAGAAAACATTTTCAACTATCCATTGATATCATTATGTATCAATGTCTAAGTGATTATAATAGTTAAAGAACAGAATACAATATGATTAAACAATCTATGTGCGCCTCAGAAAACTAAATCTACTGGTTATGATTCATTAAATCAATGATAAGTAGTCATGTGATCAATCCATTTTATGGTTGTCAAAATGTATCAATGAGGATTCTGAAACAAAGACAGAAACTTTTTAATATATTTTGATGGACTTTTGTTCTATGAGCTGGATGGTTTGGTTGTGGAACTTTCATTATTCTTCTGAATGACATCATCAGTACAAACTTCAGGTAGAAGTGAAGTGTTCAAATTTCTGCACATGTGGTTCACAGCTTGTCCTGTACACCTCAATGTTGATTGATTCTTGTTAACCTCAAACATGTTATTGTTTACTACTTTGTTTTGGTTTTATCTCCTGTTGGTCTGATTTTTGTTTCTATGTTTGTGCATAATAATCATCCACCTGAACTGTAAATCTTCTCCACTTTTTACCATATCTAGAGCTACTGCAATTGTCTAGCAAAATTCAATCTTTCATGGAACCAACCATTAGACTGAGAAATCTTTACGAAAAATCCTACCTATGTAATGAAAAAAATTGATGTCACCTTTCAAGATTAATTATACTACTCAAGATTTAAAAAAACTTTGAATTAGCTGTTTGTGTAAAAGAGGTACTATTACACATTCGAGATTGAAGTAAGACATTGAAATTGATAGAACAGAGCACACGATAATCATCTGATATACTCAAACTACTTACCATTTTATTAAGTAGTATAACGGATACTTCACAAAAAGCAAATAAAGGTCAAATGCAGTTGTAAATAGACTTCACAATAGTAAAGGTGGTGTGATTAATTCTAAATTCAAGTCAATCAACATCATTACTTATTGATATTTCGTTAAATTCTCGCTGGTTCATCTGTAATCATATTTCCATATTGGTAGATACGGACTACTTGGTTGCGATCCATGAAACTATCGTAACGAGTGGTTTGAGACTCTGGGTGATGTCACAGAATCGATCACAATGTCATAGGTGTATGCACTCTTTGTGTTTCCTTAAACCGTGAGATTAAAATCGCTTCATATCTTTCTTTCTACGAACTAATTCTTTCTTCCTGTACTATATCTCTATATTCAAACTTTCTTTTAAATAATACAACTGTACGTTCAGTTAATATGTTAAGCCCATATAGCTTATTCTAGCTTTTGGAATGGCCAATTTATCAATTCTTATTGAGCCACGTTTTGAACTTGTTAATTATTCACTAATCAACTTTAACTGTTCTTATATGAGCGCATATGTATGTACCCTTCTTATCATATTCATCAAATATCTGTAACTTATTTTTGTGTGACTATAAATATAGATTCACCCTTAATTAAATCGAGTTGGCTCACACACTTTCTCCACTGCGCATCTTTTCCTTTCACTTCGTTTCGTCTCGCTCCGCTCATATATGTGCGTGATCCAACATTGTAGCTAACTGACTATTGTCTATAAATCTATTATAATCTTCTAGTTACCTGTTAGTAAACTGTTATAGATCCATTCATCATTCATCTGAAAACATTTTGTTCAAATACTACTAAACAAAACAAAAATTGATGAGACTACAATTTATGGATGACTGTTGTGTGACACTAGACTAATGTTGAAAGTATCCACTCAACGACTAGGACCAAATCAAGATTATAAACCTGTTGATGGTCAAGGTTAGGAATAACATTGAGGATTTTCATTATGAACTGGCATGAACTCTAGTGTTGAAACCCCAGGGAATCAAATGAATGAATGAAGTTCGTGCCAAAAATCCGACACCTATTATCTTATATACACTTGATTGATTCATTCATAAATGATAGTCGAACTCAATAATTTATTATAAACCATATTATCATCATCATCCATTGTAATTTACCTGCTATTACGACTTCCTTTTAATGCACTACGTATTGGTTTTTTAGTTAAATCTGGTACACTAGCAAACGTGTTCAATTTACGTACATAACGCATTTTTGGAGATTGATCTAAATCTAAATAATTTTGACTTTTTGATTCACTTTTTAATAAATTACATGGATTGAAATTTATTTTATCGGAATTTTTTTGACTACTTATATTCATTGAATCAGTAGTATTAGTAGTAGTGTATTGTATTTCATTAATAGATTGATTCATATTATTCATTGGTGTTGTATTATGCTGATAAGATGGATGATTTCGTAATAAACGTTGTTTTCTACTAGATAATGAAGTAATTTGAAATTGATGATGTCCATATTCTGTAAAATGTTTACGTTCAAATACTTTTTTGTAATTTTTCATACTACTATTATTATTATTAGTAGTAGTAGTATTATCATTATTATATCCTATGGAAACTGGTCTAGATAGGCTTGTTTCATCATTTGTAAGTAGTTTGTTAGTAGTATGTTGATATGTAATATGATTTTGTAAGTGATCTGATTGTATATTTAATTTATTCTGTTGTTCATTTATAACAGATGAATTGGCATGTGATGATTCACTGTCTAAACCTTAGTAGAAAAGGAAAAAGAAAAAGAAAAGAAAAGGAAATAGATTTTATTTTATGAATATATGACTATTCAATAGTAAAAGTATGTCATGTGTACTACTGATATCGTTAGATATAAGTAGTATATGTATCATCAATCGAAAGTGAAATGTTTGGTGACAGGAGGTGAAGACGATTCAAGAGAAGAGTATGAGAACAGAGAAGGTTAGGTGTGGAAACAAGGAAACAATGAAGTCTGAGATGATTGATTACCATTTTGCAAATGAAGTATTTACTGTATGGGTGTTAGATTTTACTAGAAGGATTCTGTATATTCGGTTGTCCTCCCTTGTGTTCTCGTTCACTACATAAGTAGTCTATAAACATGAATAGTCAAGGCCAAGAGATTATATACTATCTCATCTCTACACGGTGAGATATTTAAGCGTGGTTGATCTTTTGTAAGAGCGAGACTCTAATTTATGGACGACCTTTGAACGAATGTTAAATGATCTTGAGGAATATTAGCCGATCAGCAAACAGTCAGTTTAGAGTAAAAGTGGGTTATACAAAACCAAAGAAATAAAGTGGATACAGTGATTATACGTAGTACAAAAACTTGTCAAGGTTAGAAAGAGGTTTTAAAATTGTAATGCATGTAGTAGAGGAAATCATCCATATGACTACAGTCGAACTCTGGATCCATAATAAAGTCTCAAATACTCTTTCAGCCTCGACCATATCGCTTCAATATTGTTTATGTACACTCCGGTTGTTGAATGCATAAAATGTCACTTGTGGATACCGACACGATGCACATAATCAAACCTATGTGGCAGTCTGTACGCTCTCCAAACATCCGTATATATTGTAGTATCTGGCTGCAGCCAGTGTTACTAGTGCTTTTATTATCCAGTTAGCAATAATTGTCATAATTCGCCTTAATTACGAATTATATATGGGTTTTTCATCACGAACTGATATCAGGTATAATGCCAGAAATTTATTTAGCCAAATAGATAAAACGGTATCCCACTCAAATCCGAGATCTATTATCTTATACCTGATTGATTCGTCCACATATTATAGTCTCGCCGTTTTACTTGTTATAGCCGCTCAATTATCACGTTTTGTACGAAATTACCTGTGAAGCGATCGTACATTAACATTAAATACTGAAGTTGACCTTGAAATGCCACAAACACTTGTGATAGGGTCGTCCATAAGTAAGAGTTTCGCCCTTGTAAGTTCTTGAATTCTTCATGTGACCTAAGTTACCGGTTGTAGTGTCGGTTATTATGTTAAACGCATATAATTTATTCTAGCTTCCGGACAAGCCAACCTGTTCATTCCACTTGGGTTACATTTTGATCTTATTAATTATTCACTTATCAACCATAATTGTTCTTATGTAAGCGTATGTGTGTACACTTCTTATCCCATTCATTACATGTCTGTAGCTTAATTTTGTGTAACTATAAATATTGATTAACGCTTGATTAGATGGAGTTGGCTCATGAGGTTTCTCCACTGCGCGTTGTTTCGCTTCTTTCTATTCCATTCGCTTCATATACAAAATATATGTATTCAAAAGTCCATTCTCATCATTTGACTTATTTGATTCCTTTATAGACTAACGCGATTAAAGTCGATGATTATATACGAGGATAGGCGATAACAAACATTCATACGATCTACATGGAGTCAGATCTCGTACCACTAATGTGGAGAGCCCGTCAACAAACATTGTCCGATCTAAATGACGACAAAATAAAGGGCCTCAGTAAACGGTCAGACTTATGTGGACACGTGACAGTTGTCAATACTGTCATTCAGGTTTCTAGAATACAGTCTGCTAAGCAGTCTTAATTTTCTCTCTATATGTAGCTGAATAGTTAGATGTTTAAGATGTCTTTGTAAATGACTTGTAGCGTCGGATATATCAAACCCCGCCAGGAGCCTCCTGGGGCCACTAACGGTCCCAAAACCGGATAAAGGAGGAGGATTGGGCATGGAGATAGCGACCCCATTCTGCAGAAAACTAACTAGCTAAAAATACACCAACCAGAAAGAGTAATTCAAACCATTTAAACTGTGCCCTTGGAGTTAGAAGATCTTCATTTAGAAGAACTATGACGCCTCATGGTAAAAGCCGAGTCACGAAGTTGATGCTCATTCTGAAAACCAGAAAAACCATTAATTTAGGTACATGGGATACCGGGATAGTCACAAAATTATTGCTGCACTACATATTATGGATAGTTTTGAAATGGTTACCTATGAAATATAACAAAACAATATAACATAAACCCTGATAAATGGTGACAAATATTAGAAGGTTTGAATTAGTCATAGGACAAAACCAATATCCTAGTCCTCATTATTAACCATGGGAGGCAAAACCCGACTCACATGTCCTGATCGTGCCTCCTGGATAGTGGAACTAAAATAAGCAGTAACCCGAGTGGTAGAGATCAAGCTAATCACCGATACCCACAAACTGATTACGAAACCGATAAAGAATCACAGCACAATTACTCCTGAATCGAAGAACGACAAAAAATTCACAAAAGTGGTACATGGAATATACGGTGTTGCTCTCCACGAAGCAAAATACAATCGATTACAAAAACAGCTATTCTAACCCCAATAGTTTTGCCGTGCTTTGATGTGGCCTATTTCTCTACAGAAGGGTCTATTAGGTTTCAACAACTTGTTCGACTGGAAGACGGGGGTTGGGAGTTGGGAACTAGTAATCATCATTCAAAACATGGAAATTGAATGTTTAACTTACTTTTTGATCTTCTAAATAATCGATGCCAAAAACTTGTATACATCATGGATTCATTTAATTTTGTACTTGAATCATTTACTTTTGGATTATCACTTATAATGGTACTTTGTTTTTGTGTTAACGATTCAGAATGATCTGAATTCATGAGATGACTATTTACTATAATGAATAAAAAGATGAAATAAATAATGATTATGAATGAACTAAAGAAAGAATTGGTGATTAATATTGACTATTATATCAAGAAGGTTAGATTCTGAATATACCGTATATCACTTGAAGTACTCGAACTCTAGAACCCTTCGAAGTCGAAAAATGAGAAGATGGAAGATAAGTGAAAGGAATGTTATTTCATACAGTGTCAAATATGGTACAAAACTGCTAGGTATTTATACATTGTTTTTTTTCTTTAGTAAAGACGAAATCATTATTATAGTCCTCCAATCCTTATGCAGGGGGGGGGTATTAGCATTTGTTCAATTGGGAAGCTAAACGCTGAGATTCTGGAATATTCTTTCACGAAATGACTTGATGGAATGTCTTTGGTTCTTTCTGAGCTTTTTAGAGTTTCCTTGACTTCATCTATGGGTCGTCCTCATATTTATCGTCATTTTTAACAAAATGAATTAACTTCTAAGATACAAAATAAAGTATTTTGTATGTTGATATCTCATCTCTTAGCCTACACATTCTATATCCATGTGATGTATGAACTAGTAAAACCATAGTAAAATGTCAGTCACAAAAATGATAAAGAACAAACATGAAATACGCAATATCTCTAACTGTAATTGTGGATAATGCTGATCTGAACCTCATGGAGAGTATTAGTCACCCTTAAGTTTGCAAATACTCCATACTGGCAACTATCAACTGTCAAGAAGCCTAGGATCATGGATACTTATTAATTATTGACCCGGATCGGCAAAACAACAGCAGCATATCTATAATTGAAGAACATATAGAACTCAAAACAACTCTCTGCCAATCAACACCAAAGTCAGAATTTTCAATACTAATGTCAACACAGTTCTATTGTATTGGGCGGAAACCTAGAGAACTACGAAAGTCATCATCTAGAAGATACAAGTGTTTATTAACAGTTGTCTATGCAAAATACTTCGGATCCGTTAGCCAGACAGTATTAGCAACAACCTACTATGGGAGGAAACAAATCAGATCTCAGCGTAGGAAGAAATCAGAAAGAAGCGCTGAAAGTGGATAGGACACACATTGAGGAAACCACCCAACTGCGCCACATGGCAAGCCATCACCTGGTATCTTCAAAGGCAAAGGAGAAAAGGAAGACCAAAGAACACATGGAGACAGACATGAGAAGAATGAATAACAATTGGATAGAACTAGAAAGGTAGGTCCAGGATATAGTGAGTTAGAGAATGCTAGTCGGTGGCGTATACTCCATTCGGAATAACAGGCATAAATAATTAAGTAAGTAACTAACTAACTAAAATGAACTAGAATATAAGTAAATCTAATGACCATCGCAACATTACATTGATTTAAGTAGATATGAAGAAATCTTGAATAGAGATGAGTTAGTACATCATTATTTATAATAACGATTCTATGTTAATTATCCTTTCAATAAAGATTGAGAAGTATAACTAATCTAAAAGTAATTTCACTGGTTGAAATCATGAGTCAATTGAAACTAGACCACTATAGAAAACCTGGAAGTACTGGATGGACGTTTCGTCTTAGTATGCGACTCCTCAGCAGTGCGCATCCACGATCCCGACCCCGCGAGATTCGAACCCAGGAATAAGACACACTATTTGAATGTTTCAAGGTACTACTTGACTAAATTATCAAGTTCATAAGAAAGCTGAGATGGTAAAAACTTTAGCATAAACATATTACAGTGAGGAATGTTACTTATGAGTAATTGGGTACTTAAAATACTGACATCTTCTTAATTCCAATGAAGTTTTATTGGTCAATACTTGTCGTTGAAGACTTTGAAGATCTTGTACAAATGTGTATTTTCTATTTTATGGTGTGTGTATGTGTGTGATGTGGTCTGTTTGGTTTGTATATAAATTCAGTATGTTTGAAATAGATGATTCATATCATGGAGGTTGAGTTTGGCGTCCTGGACTCTAACAGGCAGTACTATACAGGATAAAAGACCATTAAAGACTCTAGACTGATCGTACGAGTTTTATACGTGATTGATTCGGTCGATAAATCACTGTACTCTAATTAACGATATCATTACCTAACCTATTAATAAGGCATAAGAGCAAGACTATAATTTATGGACGAATCAATTAGGTATAAGTAAACTCATCCATTTGGCTAAATATAGTTTTACTATTTTAGTTTATGTCAGATCGTGATGAAAACCACAAATCTAATTCCTAACCATTAACCATCAACTGTAAATCCTTATTCTAATTCTCTGCACTGGTTAATAACCCTCATTTTGTCTTCGTCAGTTGGGTGGACACTTTCAACATCACTCTAATGTCACTCAAACATGGTCCATAAATTCTAATCTCAATGCTACAAATGATAATAATTTGAATGTACATTATAAACTTCAACAATAATCACATACAATAGATAATTACATCAAATAGAATTAGGATTAACAACAAAAGATCAAATCGCTAGTAGTACAGTAATTGACACAAATACGAGAGAGAGAGAGAGAGAGAGAGGGAGAGGGAGAGCAAGGAAGAGAGAGGGAGCGAGCGAGCAAGCGAGAAAGAGAGAGAAACACCATTGGAAATAACATTCAGTTTCTATCGAAATTATAACTTAAAGGAATTCATTAAGTTCATATCACATCTCCTGACGGTGACCTTAACTATGAAAGATCTTTGTATTTTATTATTCTCTTCATTAATTTAAGGACGAGAAAAGAAAAGAAAACATTTTTTATGCAAATTAAACAATCATAATTATTCTCTATGTAAATATATTTGGTAAAATTCTATAATAAAGTGAATTATCTCTGTATTCTTGTTTAACTTTAGCGTTGACATTCTTTTAGAGATGATACTTTCCAAATCTAAATGTCTAGGAGTTGAACTTCTACCGAGAGATTCACTTGTTGATTTAGAATATACCGATGACATAGTTCTATTTGGTGAAAACCCTGACAAAATACAGACCCTTCTGACTACTCTAAGCAACAATGCAAGCATGTTCGGGATGCGATTCTCCCTCTCAAAATGCAAAATGTTACTTCAGGATTGGGTTGCATCGACACCTGAACTAATGATAGACAGTGAAGTAGTTGAGCGCTTCACTTATCTGAGAAGTCTCATCAGCCCTTGTGGTCTGGTGTATGACGAAGTCTCACCACGGATATAGAAGGGTCGACTAGCTTTTGTCAACTCGCGTCATTTGTGGCGTAGGCGAGATATCCGTCTACCAAACAAAGGACGGGTTTACTGTGTAGCAGTTCGTTCCGTCCTACTTTATGGCAGTGAAACATGGCCTGTAAGAGTAGAGAATATCCGTAGGTTACTAGTATTCGATCATAGGTGTCTTCGAAATATTGCTCGTATATCGTGGGACCATCGAGTAAGTAATGCAGTTGTTAGGAAACGGGTGCTAAGTAAGGATGGCAAGTCGATTGATGAAGTGGTGAAACTTCGCTCCGTTCTATCTTCTTCACTTCATTTGCTGCGATCCTCCGATTGTCTGCTCCGATCAACAATTGTATGAAATATAAATATTCAAACATCCATTCTCATATTTAATTTATTTGGTTCCATTATTCGTCAACGCGAGTTAAGTCGATAATAATATACGAGGATTGACGATATATATATTTTGACAACATTCATACGATATAACTAGGGTCCGAACCTGGGCCATAAAATCATTTTATAATAATCGTATACACCATCAAATTTCTACTGTAATGCAACCATTCTATTGAAGCCACTTATTGTTTTGCATCGATTCAATTTACATTGATAAATAAGCTCAAATGTGAATAGTGATAATTATAAGTATAATATTCACTTCATAGTTGAATCTTCCGGTTGATGTTTAGGACTGCGATTGATCAGTCACTTATTTGCATATGCTCATACTGTGCGTATTGCCTTGATATTGCCTTAAATCACAAGCATTTTAAGCAAAGATGGATAGTGGTTAGCAGTGGAATCAAGAAACTGATCAATTACAGTCCTAATCATCAGTGGGAAGATTGAAGAAAACAATAGCAAGTGAATCTAAAACTTCACCACATTGCATAAGCAAGTGGCCATGAGGGCACAATACCTAAGAGGATAACACGATGGCGTTTGAAGCGAAAGGTACTGGGTTCGAGTCACAGAGTAAACATCTACTCTGAGATGTAGGTACATCCGGCTGATAAGTTCCCAATGGAACGAAACGCGCGTCCTGAATTGCAATGCTACCCATTATTCATCTTTGCTTATCAGTATAATAATTCACTATCTAACATTATGAAATGAAAATAGATTTCAGTATGTATAAGATTAGGAATTAATTAAAATATCTAAACATCAATTTGTTTGTCTTAATATATAACAATAGAAACATTATCGGTGCAGAGTAGTGGAGAATGTTAAGTTTGTAACTCAGATCATGATAGACGGATGGATGCTAGACCACTATTGAAAACCTGGAAGCACCTAAACGGTGGTTTCATCCAAGTGTCTGACTCTTCATTAGTTCCCATCCACGATCTGACATGCAGAATTCAAACTCGATTTCGTAGATTAGTTGAAGTTAGACAATAACACCGTTTGATTATGGCTCATTAGTTTACAGATTAAGTAATCACATGCAAAACAGAAAGTCCTAGGTTCAAAACTTACTAAAGAGTTTTATACTAGAACAAAACGACCATCCAATGCTTTCAAGTTTTCAATGATGACCTAACATGTATCCACCATTTATGATCTTAATCAATAGTAACATTTTAATGAATACCATTGATCATTGTATAGTTTACTTTGAGTATAAAACAAAACAAAAAGAAGAAGAAGAAGAAGAAGAATTCCTTTTTAAACATGGACTGAAAGAATATGGTCATCTCTTTTGTTTTAACACATTCTAATGACCTTCATCGTTGAATAGTTCAAAAGAATTCAGTTTGAAAAAGAAAAAGAGAGAAAAGAAAAAAGAGAGAAAAGAAAAAAGAGAGAAAA